ATGATTCTTTAAAGGAGAACTAACGTATGAGGTGAGTGCTTTTAACTAGTTCTAGCCGACCTGTGACAATGAGACTGTCACAGGTCGGCTCAGTAGATCGGGAGGTGAGCGAACACATACCGTCGCTCACTGTGCAGAGAGCCGTGACAGGGGAGGGACTGGATTCCCCCCTCCCCTGTCCGATCCGCCAGCGCTGACTGGAGGAACGGACGGGGAGGGGGCGGGTACAGCTGGCTCTGCCTCTAGATAGGCAGAGCCAGCTGTCACTCACGCAGCTGGGTGGATCCAGACATAATTGTCGGGATCCGTTTCAGCTGCGGCGTTTCAGTATACCGAGCTTTGGGTAACGGGACGACGCTAGTTTGTGTCCTCCCGTTACCCTTAGGAAAACTATGGGGAAAAGCCCTAACCACATAGTTCTCCTTTAATTTTGGTATTACCTTTTTTTTTTGTACACACTTTATTGCTATTACATGGGGGACTAAGAAGCCCCCTATGTGATAGCCAATTTACATGACAGGTCCTCTTTATGAAGACATCAGGGGTCTCCAAAACCCTTTATGTCTCCTAGGGACCCCCAGAGAAGCTGATGAAGCAGAAATCTGCTTCATCAGCTTCTGTAGCTTGGAGAGTGACACAATGCAGGAAGTGATGTAATGTACATCACTTCCTGCATTCGGGGACTGAGAGGAGATCGAAGGGAGTTCGTATACTGAACTCACTTTGATCTCCTGTTACAGTGCCGTGCTGGTTCCGGCCATATCGGGCACAGCAGATCACGGGACCGGCAACGGCAGTGACAGCTGCTAATACAAGCGATCGAGCCCCTCTAGAAAGTGCAGCCTTATTCCTCAGGGACAGGCGTAGGTGTATGTGCACTCTTCCATTCTCCCCCTGACTAAGCAGAAATGTCAGGCCATTGTAAAGCTATAAGGCTCCTTAGGCTGACTTGCTTCCTAACTGACCTCAGGGCTGACAACCGACACACCAGCCAGAGGTCTGGGAAGGGTAAAACTGACAAATAAACACTTGGCCTATTTTTAATGTACACAGCAGCATTGCTATTTTTTTAGTATGTTTTACAGCGCTCACCTTAGTCAGGAGATAGGACAGACTTATAGCATGAGACTTCTGGTCTACCATGGACAATGCAATTCACAAAAATCCATCTCTGTGGTAAAACTGCACTAATATAAGAGTGGAGATTACGATTACTACAATTGCATATTGGCGACGGGATTTAAATATTTCAGAAAACGCAGATTTGGGCGAGCACATTCTTTTCCATGGATCAGTTGACCTAAAACTATTATTTCCGTTCCAGTCAAATGCTGGAAAAGTTAACTATTCACTGCGGCTAATAATTATTTAGACAGCAAAATCTTTGTACCAGTTCCAAGTACACAAAACTGCAGCAGTCCACTGACATCCATCTCTCTAGTATATCCTTTATTGTGTGTAATGAATGAAGGCGGCAGAGGAAAGCTCCCCACTACATTGGGGGGATTCTGCAATCCTTGAGTGTGGATCAGAACTGAGAACTCTTGTGAGGAGATCTTAGTACCAGTACCACCTCAATACCAAATGTGAAGGGAATGATCCATTACAGACCAATTGAGGTAAATATCTATCACTGGTCATGTTGTGATAGTATTCAATAAGGCAATAGAAATTAGCAATGAGTATACAAGAACTGCAGCATACATAGAACATTTACAAACACACTTCTGTAGTTTATAATTCTCTGAAGCATACATTCCCCCCAAGCCTACATCCCTGTAAGCCCTTTAGCTCATATCCTAAATAGGACGCATATGAATAAAACAAAAGTGACACCAAATTTACTTATTAGATTTTGTAATTAAATGTGTAAATAGAAATTTTCCATTGGATTTTGGAATGCAGTAAGTCCTCACACAGGTATATAGGCTGCTGCGTCTTTAATAGCACTACAATCAATGCAATGCAAGTACAGCACGTGCCAGCAAGGGGTTACCGTTATACAGTAATACCTCGGTTCACCAACAGGAAGTTCGGCAAAATTTTGCTTCTGTTCGCGAACTCCGCATTGGGTGACGAACACGACTGCGGCCATCTTCCCCGCTCTGACAAGTGGTCGTTACATAGTATTTGGGGTTGAATAAAGACATACGTCCATCAAGTCCAACCCATATAGGTTGTGGCTTCCTCTAGTCGAGATCGTGGTCGCAGACAGACCTGTGCACACTTGCTGTGAAGCTTTTTAGCACATACAATACTGTAGAGTATTATTCAATCCAGCATGGCTCCAAAGAAAGTGCAAAGGATAGTGTTCACTCTTCATACTGTACTTTGTTTCATATTTTGTTTGGTTAAATATTTTTTTTACATATGGTTCAGAACGAATTAACCTTATTTAAAATTGAACCTTATGGGAAAATCTGATTGGGTTCGCGACCAAAATCGGTTCGCGACCACGTTCGTAGGGGGTCAGAACGGATTAACCTTATTTACATTCAATGGGGAAATTTGACTCGGTTCACAACCAATTCGGTTTGCAGCCAGAATCGCAGAACCAATTAAGTTTGTGAACGGAGGTACCTCTGTATTACTTAAGTTATTATATAAAACCTCACATATTTGTGCCCTTAATGTTTTGATCACCCCCTCACTCAATACTCAGGGCTCATTTACAGCACACACTGCACATTATTGTGCATATAACACACAAGCTGGTTTGTGTTGTGAATATGCACTGCAAGGTGTTAAAACGTATCACAGTGCTTGTGTTTTTTCCAACTTGTATGTCATTTTTATGTGCTGCAGTGCATTGCATTACAGCACATTGGAACCTACTGCGTGTGAAAATGCATCATATATCATTTTTTTTTCAGTGTAAACTAAAGTCATAGGACATAAGGGAAGTTGCCTTGTTCTTGTGCTGGGACTGCATTGGGCAATGCCGCTCAAGGCGGCTGGTGTGAATGCGCCCTCAACATAGAAATCTACCACATATCTCTGGCTCCAAACTTTACCTCCACCAATCATCCTTATTCCTTGATTCTGTTAAGTGGGGAAAAGTTTTGAAGGTTAGGATTTCAGGATAAGAATTTTAGGTTGGGAGTTGTGAAGCCCCAAAATACAACAAGCTTTTTACAACAGAAGTCATAGCACTATTTTAATGTGAATGTAGTTTATATTGTCAGTCACATTATGATTTTTAAGTAATGATACAATTACAGAATTGACAATTCTTTTATACCCAAGAGGTAAACATCAGCTGCGTCACACACTCCTCCTTTCCCCAAATTGTGCAGCCTAAGCACAGCCATCAGTAATCCTCAATTACAATTGTTTTGTCAAACTTCAAAAGCTAAAAGCAGTCTTCTCCAACTAAAAGGAAAGGGCAGACTTGTCTGATGTACATCTGTAAAAAATAAATCAAGGCAACTTGGCTTGCTGTATTTTTCTTGAAGATGTTTCACTGGTCATCCAACCAGCTTTCTCAATACAGAATTCATTCTGAACTGAGAAAGCTAGTCGGATGACCAGTAAAAAATCTTCAGGAGAAATAGAGCAAGTCCAGTTGCCTTGATTTATTTCTTACAGATATACCATGACCTGGATGTATGAGAACTTTGAGACTTATGTCCGATGTACAGGTTGTGTCTGACAGCCTGGCTCTGCCTTCTCTAGCAAGTGAGTTTTTAATCAAAAGTTATGTACTGCGGGTTCGTTTAAAAAAGGAATAGTTCATATTTGGCAGCAACTGTTGTGAATATTGACAAAAGAAAGTTTCTTAAATACATCTCTATGTGAAAGAGTGAGGACAACAAACTGTTAAATTGATCCACAGTGCTTGGGCATCATACGCTGACAGGTTAGGAGGTCTGGTTACATTGTATGTAGCTGTGCTGCAGTTTATGGATAAGCCAAAACTATACTGATGGATGCTGTGGTCTTGACCATAGACAACAGCCATTATGACTAATACCGTTTCAGCTGCGGCGTCTCAGTATACCGCAAGATACTGAGCTTTGGGTGACGGGAGGACGCTAGTTTGTGTCCTCCCGTTACCCCTAGGAGAACTATGGGGACAAGCCCTAACCCCATAGTTCTCCTTTAATTTTTGTATTACTTTTTTTTTTTTTCCACACAAAACTTTATTGCTATTACAATAACTTTATTGCTATTGGATATCCTAATGTTATACCAATAAACACAGGATATGAACAAAAACCTCCCGTTTTTTTATTGAACCAGTAAAACCCTGACAATTCTAAAATCTACCTTTCCACACAGGAAGTTATCTGTGTACATTAAAGCCAAACTGAACCTCCAAATGAAACCTGCTAAATTCACTCCAAGTGCATCAAAACAAAAAAGGTGTACAAAGTCTTAGTTTGGGTTCTTTAGAAAGAAGCCACAGCATTGGTAGAAAAACCTGGTACCTTCCAGTGTGCTGTAAATAAGCAGTGACCTCTCTGTAGAAGTCCAGCAGTCCCGTGCTGAGTAAGAGCAAGAGATCTACATTCAGAAGGGAGCATGAGCTTTGCTGGTTGGAGAGTTCTAGCTCTGACTTGGCAGGAGTGTGTCCGATCTTAGCAGAGGGACTACTGCTTCTATACAGAACAAAAGGCCCCTTTCTGCATTATGCTGGCAGGCTTTCCTACTCAAAAAAACGGTAAGACTGCACACCCTTTGTTTTGATGCACTTTGAATATATCTAACCCGATTTAAACTGAAGGGCTTTAATAATGTAATTTGTGAACACTGGTCCCTCTACATAAATGGCTTGGCTAAAAAGGAAATGTACTTTGCAGGGATCATGGTATTAATAAATCTCTACCATTTCCAGTATAACACATAGAACCTAAGTAGGAAATGAAAGAAGGATGGAAAAAAAAAACCTCAGGTTTTATAAATAATGTATAGAGAGCAAAACATCCAGTATATTATTATCAGTGTATTATTTCAGAAACAAGGTCCTCTGGGTTATAAGAACGTCTTTATAATCACAGTAGTGCAAGTTCAACACTCACTTTTCGTTCAAGATAAGGCACACAGGGCCCAAAAATGTAACATGCTGGAATTGTCCATTCTGCCGTTCAGCAGACACATCCCAGCGAATAAAGTCCTATGAAAGGTAAAAGTTGCAGCTCTAGATCTCATGTTTGATATTTGGATACTTTCTCAGCAAACTGTTTACTTTCCCTGCTGGCATCAAGCTTCCTGTGAGGTTCTGTACACCCGCCTTTCGATCAGCCTGCAAAATTCGGAAGAAAGATATTAGTAATATAGTAAAGCATTGGAGAAGTTTTCTCTGACAAACCAGCAATGTAACTGAAGAGCATCATTTGGACAGAAAAGTAGAATGAAATGCGTTTCCTTACTTTTTATTTTTCTGTGTAGGTAGGCACTCATTATAGGAGTACCTACCTACCCAGGAACAAACAGTCCAATCCCTGGACATGTGGCAAACTTGGGTTACAGTTTCAATTAAATTGGGGTTCGGTATGTAACCATATACACATACAGAGTGTGGAGTCTTTAGCTGCTGCTAGCTATTGTTGCTCCAAGTGTAAGGCATCGGTCCAATTATTATTATATTTGCTAACACTAAAATGTAATATTAGGACCACTGCTGAGGGCAGTATGCTCCCCAACCATACTGTGCTGCTCCACTAATGTATTAACAGCAGGATCCATTGCACTGTTATGGGTACTCGGTAAAGGTGCACCAAAATGGTATTTTTAAAGCCAAAACTAATCCATGACCTTTTCTCCGCCCCCCTTCTTATCCATGTTTTCTTTCATTGAGTATAGTATTTTTTTCTACGATCATTTCTATGATATTTTCATCATATACATAAGTTTGTTATATTAGGCGGATAAAGATGTATGTCACCAGAGTAACATATTAAACAGATGCATGAAACTAGAATGTCTGTAATGATGACATATTTACTTGGACTGTACGGCTGTACATCACTGTTTGATAACCGCTATCCTTTAGAATCAACGTATGTTTTCAGTAAAACAATAAAGTCATACTTGCAAAAAAAAAAAAAACTAAAAAAATGTCAGACAGCAACCGAAAAAATATAATTTCCTAACGTTTACAAATATTTTATTTTAATTTGTTTTAATAAACAAATTTTTTTAAATAATAATTTTTTTTTTTTTTTTTAACTATAATGAAAAAAAAAAAAAGTTTAAAAAAAAAATTAAAATTACAAAAATTCTAGGGTCATCAATCACTGATAACACTAAACTGATGAGCGGTAAAAGCTTTTAAAGCGCTGGTTATGGTCAATTTTGCGTATGTTAGTTTTTTGAGATTTAGCGCAATTTTAAAGTTTGACATGTTTGGTGTCTATTTACCCGACGTGACCCCATCAAAGAATTGGGTAATAATAAATGTTTTATAACATAACATAGGGAGAACAGGGTTTTTTTTCAAAATTTCTTCTTTCTATAATTTCATTATATAGTTTAAAAAAGTGGTGATTAAACACCACCAAAAGAAATCTCTATCTGTTCCCAAAAAAATGGTATAAAATTAATTTCAGTACAGCGTTGCATGACGGAATAAACGTCAGTCAAAGTAAAACAGCAATTAACACTGAAAAATGGCCTGGCCAGGAAGGGGGTCTAAACACCCCAGTCAGCAAGTGGTTAATGCTGGGGGCTTCATGGAAATATTAGGGGTCTAAACAGACCCCTGACATTTCCCTTTTAAAATAGAAAAAGAGATTGAGGACACTGAGTCCTCAATCTTTTTCTGTATCCCCTGTTATACATGAACAGGAATCCTCTATACTGAGTGTTCCTCTTCATTGATAACATGAGGACATGGTATGTTTACCATGTACACAATCATGAATAAACAGGAGGTGATGTAGATCACTTCCCATTAATTCATAACTGGGGACACAGTAAACATACTATGTCCTCAATTATGTACAAACACTCAGCAATCACTGACTGCTGTTACCCGCTCTCCATCCTGACTGTCACAGGAGGCTGAGTGAGCGGTGCAGGCAGGAGAGCTCATTCTCCTGTGACAGCTGACTCCTCCCCGGCCCGAGTCAGCTGCCCAAGGTTAAGGAGACAGACAAAAAACACATGGGGTGGGGTTTATCAAAACCACAGCAGACAGAATCTGGAGCAGTTGTCTATGGCAACCAATCAGCTTTCTTTCTTTTCAAATCTCAACTGAACGAACTTAAAAAAAAAAGCTGGTTGGTCACTATGGGAAAGCGCTTCGGATTCTCTCTGCTCCAGTTTTGATGAATTCCCCTCATTGTATTAAATAAGGAAAGGTTCCAATATCTATGTTTTTATTGCTGCCTGCGCTTTCCTGTGCCAGTGACAACCGCATCCTACTTTTCTTGTACAGGTGTCACCGGGAGAAAAGTGAGGGACAATCTCTCTGAAGGAGACAGATAATTCAAAAACACATTTTAGTAGAGTGGTAAAGGCCAAACTTTTAAGTTTTGGGCAGAATTGGAAACAGTACATACTTCTGCCAAATTGTTATTGCTGTCCATGACCCTGTTGGGGAGATTTCACCTCACTTCCTGTCCCTCTACCAGATGTTCTAACCCTTCCAAATGTAACTGTTGATAGAAATAAAAGCCCGTTAGGGGTTCTATGTCTACCCCGCTCTGTCTAAAACAATAAAAAGTTTTGGGTGAAGTTAGGTTTGGCTTAGAACAGGGGCAAGCAACCTCAGCACTAAGTCCCATGAGGCATTGCAAGACCCCGTTAGACACAGGTATGATGACATTTGTCGTTTCATCACAGCTGGAGTGCCGTTGTGGCATACCCCTGGTTTACAATTTATTTATTTCCAAAACAGTTTTGGATAGAGCAGGAAAGAATGAGAATCGCTGTCAAGTTGCCAGTGATGTATATGCCCCTCTTAGTATAACCCAGTGTCCTGGTGACACTTTGTCAATGGGACAGAAAGTACTGGGAAACCCAAAATTTACTGCTGTCACCAGAACAGGATGTGAGGCTAAATATCCCAATGGGGACATCTGTTCCAATGAAAACTGTCTAAAAGGGGAATCTCTTACTTTGTTGCAGCTCTAGGACAGGAAGTGATGGGCAATCTTTTCAACTACAGAAGGATGGGAAAAAACCCCCAAAAACTAACTTTTAAACTATATCCAATACCCAAAAAAAAGTTTGGGCTATGAAAAAATTCAGGGAGACGTGTAGTGCACAAGTAGTTTCTGACCAATTCACAAGTCAATAGAAAGTTAAAATATATATGTTGAGAAACCCCAGAAAAGAAATTATACCTGTGCTTGTGTCACACACTTATAGAAAATCTTGATTTCATTAGAACAGACTTTGTCGTTGAAAGAATTTTCTTTCCAGCACGTCATCAACACAGACATCTCGGTTAAACAGGTTGCCTCTGCGGGAGAGAAAAAACAAAAACAAATAAAATCACACAAGCATGCGCCTATAGCGTCACATCTACAGAAAGATCTGACATGAGATGATACAAAGATGGCCGCCTATACACAGAGACACAGTGCAGAATAAACCTGGCCATATACAGCCAGAATTTGATCCCTGAGTGGCCCTGCCAGCCCCACAAAAGGTTGATTTTTTTATTGACTTTTATCAAAGGAGCCGTGTGGGAAGCGATTATCCGAAAAGTGACTGCAGCCAATAAGCTGCAGTCATTTTTTCATGTTTAGGTACTCTGACAGCAATGGGCACCAACTCTCAGAATACAATAGCCAGCAAGGAAAATATGGTGCTGTGCAATACTAAGTCTTCATACAAATGAACATCACCAGCACTCTGAATACTTATAAATTCTTGTTTGTTGACGGTCACTACGTCACCCCGATGAAGGACCCTGCGTGGCCAGAAACTTTCATTGTAGCACCCCTTTTGACAAGAACGAATTCCCCTCTTACCTGACAGCTTTTCTTTCCGGCTGGACACACTGTCTTTGAGCACTAGCGGGACTTTGGGTTCCAGGACCGGCTTCCCGTACCGACGGCACAGAAGTCTGGCCACCTTGGCCTGGAATTGCATTGCCTCCGACGCCATGACAGTCAAGGGCACCGCGGAGGATTTTGGGAGGGGAAACTGCACAGGCCCGCCCACCAACCACGTGACATCACGGAGCGCACCAGATTGGGAACCTGTATCCACATAGAAGACTCGTAGTTCTAAAGAAACCGGAAGTAACGCGGTCCCACAACTCGATAGGTTCGTAGTTTTGATCGATCACCTGATACACCCAGAACACTTCCTGTACAGTGTTCGCTACAGCGCCCCCTGCTGATGTCAGCATTGAACAGCTTTGTAGAATGATGGGATTTCAGGTGTTAGAGAGGCCGGTGATATATAGATGGGGGATGTGCACAGGAACAGGAGTCTGTATAGATGGAGGATGTGCACACAGGAACAGGAGTCTGTATAGATGGAGGATGTGCACACAGGAACAGGAGTCTGTATAGATGGAGGATGTGCACAGGAACAGGAGTCTCGTCTGTTCTGTGTAGTGCTGAGTGTAACTCCATTATCATTAATTCAGTCATTTGTTATGTACGAACATTAATTTAGCCTAGATGTGAAGGTTTATTACAGCATCCCTGCTGATCGTGGGATGCTGGGCAGAAGGATGCTAACAGCGGCACCTATTGTGCGAATTCCGTCTGGTTCATCAGGAACCAGCCACAGATGGTATCAGGAATACCCTACATCACTTATTATAGTTGCCCATTCGATGTACTTCCTCAATACACTGTCACAATTTCACTCAGCTCTGTGAATATGTACTTTCTTGTATCACAACTCCCACAGCGCCTGCCTTCTGAACTACAACTCAACGTCTGAACAATGTAACATCATCATTGCTTGCTGGGTGCAATGCATGATGGGACATGTAGTTATGAGAAATCAAGGTTGCATTACATCAAGCAGCAGGGAAAGAGATGCACAGCACACTGGGAATCCAGGAAGTTGGTGAAAGTGATGGGCAGACAGAAGGCAGCGCTCACAAGTCAAAGACAACTCTAGTCTGTGTTCCTATGACAATGCTGAGGAGTACGTTTAGTGATGTGAGCTGTGGCGGGTAATGTTATGTTTTGTGCCAGCTCTATATAAATATCATTGCATGTGTTCTATCATTTCAGGTTGTATCGTACGACTTACAGGCACTACTGCTGATGTAAATACATGATAAAGTGTGAGTTCCTACAGCTCCAAGATTTGTTTGTAACTTATATGAAAATCTATTATAACTTCTTACATTTAGAAAGGTTGTGAGAGGCATCGGCCATCCTTAAGGCCCCATTCACACTGAGCGATTTTTGCAGCGATATCGCTCATATTTCCACGCGATATCGCTTTATGTAGCTTCTCCAATCCATTTCAATGGAGTTGTTCACATCTCGTCGCTCAATATCGCTTGTAGCTCGTCGCTGGTAGCTTGTCGCTCCTACATGACCCTTTTTTCTAGCGATTTCGCTCCTGATTGCATACAGCCCAATAGGAAAAAGTTGCGCGACACGTCGCGCAATATTGCTCAAAATCGCACGATTTTCATGTCGCTCAGTGTGAATGGGGCCTTATTAACCATAAGGCACCTTTTAAATGTTTATGCCGCCTACATCAGGGATAGCCAAACGTCGGCCCTCTGTTGTGGAACTACAAGTCCCATAAGGCATTACAGCCACAGGCATGACTCCCAGAGGCAGATGCATGATGGGAGTTGTTGTTTCACCACATCTGGAGAGCCTGAGTTTGTCTGCCCCTGCTCTAAATAGATCAGTGACCCCATGAATCATGCCCACCATTGTAATAAATCAAGGCTAGGCAATCTCGACACTCCAGCTGCTGTGGAGCTACAAGACTCTGATAGCCACAGGCATGACTCCCAGAGGCAGATGTATGACGGGAGTTGTTGTTTCACCACATCTGGTGACCCTGAGTTTGCTTGCCTCTGCTCTAAATGAACCAGTGACCCCAGGAAATATGCCCACCATTGTAATAAAACAGGGGTAGGCAATCTTGGCACTCCAGCTGCTGTGGAACTACAAGCCCCATGAGGTATTGCAAGACTCTGACAGCCACAGACATGACTCCCAGAGGCAGAGGTATGATGGTACTTGTAGTAGCCAAGGTTGCCTACCCCTGTAATAAATCACTGCTGTCTTGGTATTCTTTAGGAGTTGATGCAGGCATTTTGACTTGGTTGTGCCTTTGTACAACACCAATCTAACATACATATTTTATGCCTGGGGGGAGAAGAGGCGGCAAGGACCAGTCTAGCAGACTGGAGGAACCGAGGATCAGGTGAGTATATCAGCTATATTTGAGCCACCTAGACAAATCAGTTCATTCTTCCACATTACAGACCATGATAAGCCACTTAAAATAAAGTATTCTCCTATGCTTTTTCGCCATAACCTGTATAGACCAAATCAGGAAAGCAGCCCAGTTTGACAGCACTGCTTCCCTATGCATACAGTTCATTGAGTGAGCGCTGTCACTGTTGGACAGTAAGAGGCTGAATATTCCACCCAGCGAATAGCTGTGTGAATGCCGTTCGCACAACATTCCCACCACTAGATGGAGCAGGCAGTGTATCTTTAGGAGGTACCATGCATGTCTCCTTTGTAGAGTTACTACTAACATTAACCCCTTCATGACTGAGGCCTTTTTTTAATTTTTTGCACCCATGTTATATTCCACATTTTAGGCCTAAAAATGACTTAAAACCCCAAACATTATATATTTTCTGAATGCCAAGACCCTATAGAATAAAATGGTGGTAGTTGCAAATTTTTATGTTGCGCAATATTAGCGCAACTCCTTATTAAACCCCAACATACAGTTAAAAAATATAATTAAATGCCCCAAAACACAACAAAATACCCATTTGTGAAAAATAAAAGATGAGGTTACAACGAGTAAAACAATACCCAACATGCCCAGGTTACAAATTGCGTGTGTCCGTGAAACGGCGAAAAACTGCAGTACCCCAAAAAGTCCATAGAAGACGCTTTAAAAGCCCCCACAGGTCATCAATTTAGAGATACCCAAAAATACTGGCTCTAGAATTATTGCTCTTACTCCGTGCGCGGCGATACCCAACATGTGTAGCGCGTTCGTCGTTTTCATATGTAGGCGCACCCGATGCGTTTTTACGTGGCGACGCATGTGCTCACGGGGGCGGGGGACTGTAACATTTTTTTTTTATTATTAGATTTATTTTATTTAATTTTAAACCAGAACTGACAGCCCAGGGACCGGAAGTGATGCAAATCAGCAGCGCTCCCGATCCCATAGAACGGGGAGGGGATCGATGAACGGAAGTTCGTTGACCTCCCCCTCAGCTCCCCGCGGACACCAAGTAAGCCGGTCCCGGGCCCGTAGGAGGGGCAACGGAGCCTGGGAAGCACGGCGGCGGTGTCCGGCGGGGGGCGGCCCCTTCTACGGGACACAGAAGTGATCTGGCGACAGGTAAGTCGCCAGAATCGCTTCTGTTGTAAAGCCGATAGTCGGCTTCACAAGCTTAAACAGAGTCCGGGCGGCAGTAGCCGCCGGGAGTCTGTTTAAACAGCCCCGATGCTGGCGACGTACACTGTACGTCGTCAGTCACGAAGGGGTTAATAAGCATCACCATCCACCTGCGACAGCAGAATGGTGGAGATTGAGGCAATGCCAGAAAATCTCCATGCACCATTTCTTTTACAGCTCCTCATTAGTGTTCAGCTGATTCAGGTGGGAGACATGCAGTCTTTTAAGAGGATCATTGCATTATGAAATTGCCCGTCTGACATTGCTGTAAGGCGGTTCCCAATATGTATGTGGAAATGGAATTACAAACTCATATTGATAATGACTGCCTGAGAGGATCATGACACAGTGATCTGCAGGGCTCACACAGGCACTTAAGCTGAGCACATGGCAGAGCATACATTGATTATGAAGAGCAGTGACTTTACTTTGCCATCAGGACTCCCTCTGTTTCTTTACAGGCAGTGAAATGGTTAAGATTTATGTATCCATGAACAAGGCTGTGACTGTAAATACCATTAGCTAACGGAACTGTCCCCAGACACAATCTCATTGCTTTACTGACATCATTGGGATATAGAAGCCAATTGCTAGGCAGGGATTCCTAAAACCTGCACAGCACGTGGCACATTTACAAATCAATCAATCAATCAATTAATCAATGGCCTTAAATAGGAACTCCAGGTAAAAAAACAAACTTACCCTTGCAGTGGGGCTACCCCTGCACTGCGAGGATTAGGTGCTTGTTTGTCCAGGGGGCTCTAATAAAGCTGTTTTACTTACCTGATCCTCAGTCATGCGGCGGTCATCACTTACCTCTCTTCCGCTCCGCTCTGGCTATGCAATGTTCCTTAGTATCCTCACGTCTAATGCAAGCAAATGGACCTTTTCCTCTAGGCTCTGCTGATGGCATCAGCAGAGCCTAGAGGAAAAGAGGCTGTGGGGACCAGTCTAGCAGACCGGAGGGATCGAGAAACACGTGACTATATATATACCGGGGGGATCGAGGACCAGTCTAGCAGGCCGGAGGGATCAAGGATCAGGTGAGTATATATATACACACACTGAGTGGCCAGATTATTATGACCACCTGATGTTTGTAGGCAAATTAGCTATAATTTGGCGCTGAAGTTGCTAGAGGGCCAGACCATTATAAATAGGGAAGCAGGTTGTTTACCATGACAGTAGAAGTGATTTTTTTCTGAAGATATGGCTAAACAATGCGATTTAACAGCCTTTGAACATGGGATGATTGTTGGCGCTCGGAGCCATGGGGCGAGTATCAGCAAAACAGCAGAATGCTTTTCACTCACCTCATAGTTCTAGCCGACCTGTGACAATGAGACTGTCACAGGTCGGCTCAGTAGATCGGGAGGTGAGCGAACACATACCGGTGTTCGCTCACTTCTCGATCCTGTCACGGCTCTCTGCCATGACAGGGGAGGGGCTGGATTCCCCCATATATACCGGGGGGATCGAGGACCAGTCTAGCAGGCCGGAGGGATCAAGGATCAGGTGAGTATATATATACACACACTGAGTGGCCAGATTATTATGACCACCTGATGTTTGTAGGCAAATTAGCTATAATTTGGCGCTGAAGTTGCTAGAGGGCCAGACCATTATAAATAGGGAAGCAGGTTGTTTACCATGACAGTAGAAGTGATTTTTTTCTGAAGATATGGCTAAACAATGCGATTTAACAGCCTTTGAACATGGGATGATTGTTGGCGCTCGGAGCCATGGGGCGAGTATCAGCAAAACAGCAGAATGCTTTTCACTCACCTCATAGTTCTAGCCGACCTGTGACAATGAGACTGTCACAGGTCGGCTCAGTAGATCGGGAGGTGAGCGAACACATACCGGTGTTCGCTCACTTCTCGATCCTGTCACGGCTCTCTGCCATGACAGGGGAGGGGCTGGATTCCCCCCTCCCCGCCAGCGCTGACTGGCGGAACAAACGGGGGAGGGGGCGGGTACAGCTGGCTCTGCCTCTAGATAGGCAGAGCCAGCTGTCAGTCACGCAGCTGGGCGGATCCCAGCACAATTGTCGGGATCCGCTTCAGCTGCGGCGTCTCAGTATACCGCGAGCTACAGCTCACGGTATACTGAGCCTAGGGTGACGGGAGGACGCTAGTTTGTGTCCTCCCGTTACCCTAAGGAGAACTATGGGGAAAAGCCTTAACCCCCTAGTTCTCCTTTAAGTGTCAGTCAAATTGTACCGTGCATCTTTGCCAGATTCATGTTCTCCGTCCTTCAAAAACAAACGTCCTTCCATTCTCTTAATAACCGAAGCCTATGAACTCTTGGTAATTGAATCTACCACAACCTATCTTAGCTCCTTTGACTCACTCAAACTCTCCAAGTGTCAGCAGGCCACACAAGAGAGGAAGAGACAAATGAAAGTGAAGACATTTTAAAGCCATTATTGTATCAGAGGATGGAAATACCACACTACAGTTTTATTCCTCGAGTAAAATATATTGCAACGCTTAAAGGACCAGTAAACCAAGTCCAATCATTATAGAAAAGAGCTTTTCCTGTTGCTCTATTTTGTCAGAGATCCCACAGTATCATCAATGACCTTTGATTGTAATTATTGTATTATTTGTGCCATGTGCTGGACCTGGGAGTTATAGATACATGCCCATAGGGTGCACATAAAGAGAAGGATCAGAGGTAGAAGAGAAGTTACTTACACAAAATAGACCATTGGTTTATTACTCGTGTATGATCCAGAATAACAAAACATACTCACTGGCATTGTAAGTATATGATTCAAAAACATAAAGTAAAATGTGAAACCTTAATTTCATCTAACAGTTTATCATTGTGGTCAGGTTTTACAGACCTAAAACAAAAACGGTATAGCTTATTTTTTCCCTGTGTTTGGAAACATCTGCTTTTAAAATAAATGACCCTCCATCATATTATGCAATGTGATTGGTTATCAACTGGTTTGCATTCCACAAAGGGTTTCATTGCTATTTCTTGCATGGTAATAAATCTCACATACAATGGCTGGATAAAACAAAAATGGGTCCTGTAAACAAACAAAAAAATACTCCAAACATTAAAAAATGTGATAAAAGCTGATCATGAATCTTATGTGTGAATTTATAATTATTATGAATCCCCTGCTGGCTCCCTCCAGGCTGCTAGACCAGTCCCCGTAGCCTCTTCTCTTCTTTGCTCCTCCAGTCTAAGGACCGTTGACCTCATCAAGTATTAACCAGGGTCTATAGCCCTACACTGTATTGAGGAAAGGGAGGACCAGTCTACAGCCAGAACAGAGAGCGCCAACTTCTGGGTAAGTAAAACAGCTTTTTCCTGTCCCCTAGGCCTAAATGAGCAGTTAACCCTTGAAGTGCTAGGACAGCCCCACTTGAAGGGAAAACCTTTCATTTCCCTGGAGTTTGGCTTTAATGGAGCTGCATTGTGAGGATCCAAATTTGCCATTGTTTCATTATGTTGCCTACCCATGTATCAATTTTGTTTAGATTCCTACATTTCGTTTGTATCTGTAGACATTTTAAAACACACATTTGCAGATTCAATTTAACTTATGATCAAAATTGTATGTGAAATTTTGATTGTTTTGTAATTAAGGGCCCATTCACACTAAAGAGGCATGTGCGTTGTGGTGCACTGCAGTGCGTTGTGCCATTCTATGAATGATACCGCAATGCACCGCACATAGAGCAAGTGTGATGGCATGCGCTGTGGTAATGAGGGTCCACAAGCACATTTTGCAGCGCATTGCCGCTACAGACAAGTGTAATTGGGCCCTGAAAGGCTTGTTTGATGGATCTTTGCATGCCCTTCTACTACTGAATAAAATCTGTTTTATAACTCTATATACAGTATGCTGAAAACACATGGAAAAGTAATACAATGTTACTTCTGATTCTTTTATATTCCATTTAATGAAAAAAAAAAAATCAGTAAAAGAATGCCCACACATGCATTACAATTGAAATGTCAGACTATTGGACCTAACGTCAAGGGCTCTACTAGCCTACTGGTTGTAACTAACACTGTAAAGTGGGTGTCCATTGACTTCAGTGGGGTTTACCATTGAGTACAGCAGTTACACCAGTCTGGACCACATTTGTAGACAGGAAGCATATAGCTAAGGACCTGTGTCAATGGACTTTGGGCTTGTGTCCATGGCATCAGCTTGACATCAGTCTGAGACTATTCCGAGATAATTCAGAAATCATTGACAGGGAATCTCCCTCTGAGCGGAAGTTCTGATATCGGGGCAAGTATCAGAGCATTTGGGTGAGTACGAGTTCTTGCCCAAATGCTGAGTATCGGCACTGGTGCATCTCTACTAAAAGCAACGTTGAAAAACCAAACTGACATTTTGGTTCTTGTTCAGACTTTTTCTGCATTTATCAGCCAGTGCAAACCTACATAAAGATGTTCTGCCCTTGTTTGGGTAAAAGAAGTCAAGTAATGACACATTTGTATGAATACCCAGAAGGCTTTATACTGGAGGTCAGAGGATTCGTTATTTAGTCTTCAGTCCCGCAGGATTCATACATGTGTAGTTCCCTTTTGGCATTCCTATGAGTTCAAACAATGTAACAGTCTACGAAGAAACACTTATTTGGTATAAATACAATCATTTCCGCTCTCTACTACCTCACCTAGTATTAAAAGTATCTAGAAGTTTAAAAAGAAATACAAAAACAGCCCCAATTTGGAGAATTCAGGAAAGTTCATACATTTTTGTTCCTATTACAAAAGTTTGTACTTATTGCATGAAATAATACTTTCCATACACAGGAAGCAATAAGTGGCAGAAGTCAATAAGTCTTTGTAAGGTACAGAATGTCTTATCACAGTAATCAGGAACCCTTCAGTGTTCTACAGTCCAAGGATACTTGTTGGTTTTTGGTATGAAACCAGTCACTGGCCATAATCCTGTGTGAAGATCAGTGATGCATGTTCCTTTTAATAAACATTTCGTGCATGAAATCCCAAAATTGGTCCTGACTTGTTTCGTTTTGTAAAATCATGGCCGTAAGAGCTTCTCCCTGATCAAAACCCTGCCAGTAATCCTGCAGCCACATCTGCTTCCAGCTGAAAGACACAAAAAGGCACACATGACACTTCAACTGCAATAACAAAACACAAGGGAGGAGAAGTGAAGGCAGAATTAAAGGTTAAAGCAAAGGCTATCTACAGTCTTGTGGATTTTGTTTCATTTCATGAAATGTATTCATCGTGATATAATGAGGATAACACTATGGGGGTATGCAAATACAATTGAGGGGGGCCTCAGCTGTTATCCCCACTGCCCAAAGCTCATTAAAGCAGAACTTCTGGGGAAAATATTATTAACCCTTGCAGTGGGGCTACCCCAGCATTGCAAGGGTTAACTGCTTATTTTCGCGTAGGGACTAAAATAAAAAAGTTATACTCACCTGATCCTCTGAGCTGGCTTGCTGTTAGACCACTCCTTCAAGCATCTCTCGCCCTCCGCTGCAGTGGTCTAAGGTCCCTGAGCCATCATGTTCTATACACTGTGTATAGGACGTGAGGACTTCGAGAGACATAGCATCACTGAAGCGGAGGAGGAAGGAGTGCTGTGACAGCCAGCCAGCTAGTTCGGGTGAGTAACTTTTTTTTTTTATTATTCCCCAGGCAAAAAAAAAAACACAAGCATTTAACCTTTGCAGTGCTGGGGTAGCCCCACTGCAAGGGCTAAAAGGAGAACTATGAGGCGAGTGAAAATCAATAGATCGGGAAGTGAGCGAACGCATACCGTCGCTCAGTCACTTCTCGATCCTGTCCCTGCAGAGAGCCGTGACTGTCACTCACAGCTCCCTGCAGGGATTCCACCCTCCCCGATCCGCCAGCACTGCCTGGCGGAACGGACGGGGGCGGGTACAGCTGGCTCTGCCTATAGATAGGCAGAGCCAGCTGTCACTCACGCAGCTGGGTTGATCCGAACAGTAATGTCGAGATCCGTCCCGTCTGCGGCGTCTCAGTATACCCGCAAGCTGTAGCTCGCGGTATACTGAGCTTTGGTTGATGGGAGGACGCTAGTTTGTGTCCTCCCGTTACCCAGGGCGGCATGCACACCTGCGTCTCCCCGCCTTCCCCATGTGGCGTTCTAGCTGGCATCCTGCCCACCTCACTGACGTCACTGGTTGCCAGGAAAAAAAAATTTTTTTTATTATTCCCTAGGCAAAAAAAAAAACACAAGCATTTAACCTTTGCAGTGCTGGGGTAGCCCCACTGCAAGGGCTAAAAGGAGAACTATGAGGCGAGTGAAAATCAATAGATCGGGAAGTGAGCGAACGCATACCGTCGCTCAGTCACTTCTCGATCCTGTCCCTGCAGAGAGCCGTGACTGTCACTCACAGCTCCCTGCAGGGATTCCACCCTCCCCGATCCGCCAGCACTGCCTGGCGGAACGGACGGGGGCGGGTACAGCTGGCTCTGCCTATAGATAGGCAGAGCCAGCTGTCACTCACGCAGCTGGGTTGATCCGAACAGTAATGTCGAGATCCGTCCCGTCTGCGGCGTCTCAGTATACCCGCAAGCTGTAGCTCGCGGTATACTGAGCTTTGGTTGATGGGAGGACGCTAGTTTGTGTCCTCCCGTTACCCTTAGGAGAACTATGGGTAGCCCTGACCCTATAGTTCTCCTTTAATAATATTTTCTCTTTAAGGGCCCCCTTTGAAATGGCATCTATTGTTGGTAGCACAATAATTACACTCAAAGAACAAATGTTTTTGCACAGTTGCGATGTACCAGTAAATTACCTCCAATTATGTATTTCCCATGATGTGCTGAATTAGTTAAAGCTAACAGCTTTATTCAGTTACGACAGTAGAGAAAGCGCCAAACTTGCGGCTCCATACTTACAGTCCCCGCTCTCATTCGAGGCGGCTATGTGGTTTCCACGCACTCCATCCCCTCCATTCATAAAATGTCTCATACTGGTTTCACAGAATACAAGGCATTCTGTGACTGGACAAGGGAAGGGACAGACGAAGTCACAATCCCCATCTTGTCCAACCACAGGACGCCTTGTATTTTGTGAAAAGAATAGAAGACGCTTTATGAATGGAGAAGGTAGAGTGCGTGTGACCCACACAACCACAGTTTTAACTAATTCGACACATCATGGGACACACATCATAAGAGGCAATTTACTGGTACATAGCAAATGTTAAAAATATATTTTTCTCCCGTGGTTTAGCTTTAAGTACACGCAGAATCTCACTGTAATATATATATATATAGTCAATATAAAATAACAGTACCTGTCATCTTCTGGAAGCTTCTCAGCACTTCCCAGACCAGGCACAGGCATAGGACACCCCATATGATTGTACGCAGCAATGCGCTTTGCAGGAGCTGGACCTTTTCCTTTTCTATGGCTCTTCTCTGCTTTTACTCTTGCATTTTCCTGGTCACATACAAAGCATTCAAAGCCATTGAGGTAGTTAGGAGCCGTCATGTCATTAACTCCCCATTCTCTTTCCTCTATACTTTCTACCAGGAACTTGTTGGTTGTTTGACCAGGTTTTTTATATTCCAAGTATCTCAGGTACTCTTCGTCATTTCTGTCCAAAGAGAGGATAAAGTCTGCCAGGTCTTTAGGTGAAGCAAAGTCATCAATTAGTATGATAGAGTGGTTGTTTGGCATCCAATCCTTCGCGGAAGGCGAACCACGGTAAATGGGAACGGCCCCTAGATGCATTGGGCGCCACAGCTTCTCCGTCATATAATCAGCGCATATGGCATTTTCCATTGCTAAGTGAAACTTATACCTGGAGGTAAATGCCATGAATTCTGGATCTTCAGTAGTGGCTGTTGAAGTGTCCTCAAGTCTTTTATTTGGAAGTTGGCGGTTCTTCAGACACTGGCCATATGAGTCAACCTGGGACACAATAAAATGACAGATGAATCATAGTTTGCACAGTGCTAACAGATATGCTCTATAGATTACTCATTGCCTACTGCTGCAACATTGTTTGTAGTGGTGAAATCTGGAGTGCTGACACCTCCCTTGGCTGGCTACCATATCACTTTTGCAAGTTTGGTATAAGAAGACTTGTCTTCATATGCGACTGAAGTGGTATCCATTGCCTCTTCTGCAAACAGCAGGGTCGTCCCTATAGTGAGGAAGCCTGAGACGGTTGCCTCAGACGGCATTTCATTGGGCCACATGGGGAAGGAGGGGGAGACGCAGGTGTGCATGCCGTCCCCTTTCTGGCCAGAGCATCCCAGGTTGCTAAGAGCTCTTAGCAACCTGGGATGCTCTGGCCAACCAACTCCTGGCAACCAGTGACATCAGTGAACGGGGCAGGATGCCGTGCAAAAAGCGCAACTAATAACCCCCTGCAGATCATGCATCACTAACACATATAGGTGTGATGGTAAGGTGTTCACCAACATTTGGCCATAGAATGTGTACTACAAGAGAAGCAGCTTGACTGAAATTAGCAGTGGGCATCAGAAGTGTTAGAACATAGCTAGCTAGAATCATAGGGATAGCCCAGAGGGGGAAAAAAAGAGAGCTACGCTAGAGCTGCTTCTATAGACCCAGGACTCTGATCTGTTCATGTGCAAGCATCTTCACCTGGACCTTCAGTCCATAGAGCTGGGTTACTTCTTAAAGGAGAACTATGAGGTGAGATAGCTGCTGCAGCTTTAAAGGATTATACCCTGGAGATGCAAGTTTACAGGGAATTGAGAGTATTCAGTTTCAGCACAGGAGAGGATTTGCTACGGGTTTGGGAAAAAAAACAACTAAAGGCTGGGGTTCAGCTTTAAAGGAGAACTATGAGGGGAGTGCTTTTCACTCACCTCATAGTTCTAGCCGACCTGTGACAATGAGACTGTCACAGGTCGGCTCAGTAGATCGGAAGGCGAGCGAATACATAGCGGCGTTCGCTCACTTCTCAATCCTGGTACGGCTCTCTGCCGTGACAGGGGAGGGGCTGGATTCCCCTCTCCCCAGCTCCGATCCGCCAGCGCTGACTGGCGGAACGGACGGGGCGGGTACAGCTGGCTCTGCCTCTAGATAAGCAGAGCCAGCTGTCAGTCACGCAGCTGGGCGGATCCAGACATAATTGTCGGGATCCGCTTCAGCTGCGGAGTCTCAGTATACCGCGAGCAGCAGCTTGCGGTATACTACGGTGTCTCAGTATACCGCAAGCTATAGCTCGCGGTATACTGAGCCTAGGGTGACGGGAGGACGCTAGCTTGTGTCCTCCTGTTACCCTAAGGAGAACTATGGGGAAAAGCCCTGACCCCATAGTTCTCCTTTAAAGGGAGTGTGTAGTCTTTTCAATGCTTTTTATATCAGCATGTTAAAGAGATCTGTCTGATCTAAATAATCCTATCTATATGTGTTAGGCCCCACTTGTGAATGGGGGCAATTGCTTGAGTGTCACAAATTGTTCTATGAGACTCATGCGGGAGGCGCTATGCAGTGCAATGACAGCTGCCAACGCCTGCAGCCGTTCTCATGTAATCGAACATGCTGTGACTACGTGTGGACGATTACCCCGGAATGTAAAATGTTTGCGTCCAGGGGCAATCAATTGCAGGTAAATGCAGCAAGTGTGATTACATGCAAACAGTCACGAAGGCTGTGAGCTCTGGCAGCTGTCATTGTATTGTACAGCAATTCATGAGACTCATTGAGGGGAATTTATCAAAACTGGAGCAGTTACCCATAGTAACCAATCGGTTTCTACCTTTCAGTTTCAAAGCATGACTAATCAAACTGAAGAGAGAAGCTGATTGGTTACTATGGGCAACTGCTCCAGATTCTGTCTGTTCCAGTTTTTATAAATCTCCCCCAGTTGTGTCTCACTGAAAACTCTCCAATACATTAGCTTTCATTGCTGAGAGATGGGCACTAGTGTCCTACCCTAGTGCTCCCCTCATAATAAACCCCCCAACCATGACACTAACCTTCCCTTATGAAAGCTTAAACCTTTGTTGGCATGCTGACCTCTTCTTTGCCTCTGCACTGCAGGTCAACCCTTCCTCTGCCAAAAAAAGGATCTGGTTTCCATTTGTAGCTGATGTCTACAAGTGGAGAGACTGCAGGAACTTAAGGAGAACTATGAGGTATGTGATTTTCCCTCAACCTCATAGTTCGAGCCGACCTGTGACAATGAGACTGTCACAGGTCGGCTCAATAGATCGGGAATTGAGCGAACACACACCGTCGCTCGCTCACTTCTCGATCTCCCTGCAGAGCCGTAACTGTCACTCATGGCTCCCTCCAGGGATTCCCCCCTCTCCGATCCTCCAGCGCTGACTGGAGGAACGGACGGGGGAGGGGGCGGGTACAGCTGGCTCTGCCTCTAGATAGGCAGAGCCAGCTGTCAATCATGCAGCGGGGTGGATCTCTACAGTAATGTAGGGATCCGTCCCGGCTGCGGAGGTCTCAGTATGGCTTTGGGTCACGGGAGGACGCTAGTTTATGTTCTTCCATGACCCTTTGGAGTACTATGGGGAAAAACACTTACCCCATAGTTCTCCTTTAAAGCAGAACTCCCCCGCACTGCAAGGGTTAAGTGCTCATTGTCACCTAGTTGCTAGAAAAGTTACACTCACCTGATCCTCTGAGAAGGCTGGCTCTTAGACTGGTCCCTGGAGCCTCTCCCCCCCCTCCTCCACTGTAGTGGTCTAAGGATCCCTGAGTCATCACATCCTATACACAATGTATAGGATGTGAGGGCACTGAAAGACATACCATCAGTGCAGCGGAGGAGGAGACAGGCTTTAGGGACCGGAGTAGCAGCCAGCCACTGAACTGGAACAAGCATGCAGCCAGTAAAGTTGGAACTACTGATCCGCAGGCTTCAGAGACTACTGAAGGCAGAGGACCTGAATGTCACCCAGAAAACTAGTATTTTCAGGAGAGGTCAGCTTCATTTTAAGGGTTTGCTTTAGGGTAGGGGTGAGCAAACTGCAGTCCTCCAGCTGTTGTGGAACTAGAAATCCCACGAGGCATTGCACGATTCTCACAGACATGACTCCCAGAGGCAGATGCATGATGGGATGTGTAATCTCATCACAGCTGGAAGGGCTGGAGTTTGCCCACCCCTGCTATAGGGGGAACTATGTGAAACAGCTGCTAGGATATGTTGTAGTAAGTTAATAGGGTATTAGGTCAAAAATGTTTGCTTACCTGTATGTACTTCATGAACTCCTTGACATAGCGGTCTCGGTCTGATGGGACATCGCAGTGGGACTGCATGTATAGTACTGGGGCATAGCCCTTCTCACGCCATTTATTCTTCTCTGTCAGAGACACTGCAGGGTGCTGTAAATAGCTGACACTGGGCAGCCACTGTAAGGTGAGGGGGTAATCAGACTCGCGGCGGAAGGTAGCTGTATAGTTAAACAGTTGGATCCCCGGGAAATGTGACAGAACATAGTTGTTCATCGGGGACTCTTCATGAAACAGGGCCCACGTCTGGTGGCCCAGCCTGGGAAGAGGGGCTTCATAAGCCCTGAAGTCCGTGCCATAAAAGATGACGGCTTTTGTCCTCTTGTGAAGTTTCACACTTTTGTTCTTGGTCACCATACAGGAGCTTTGGGGGCAATCGATCCGCTCGGTGTCCCCGGGAAAGTGTGGGAACAAGTTTTCGCTCCACCATAGGAGAATGGGCAGCTCCTTGTTACTCCTTGTGTCACTGTTACCGGGGCCCCTGTAAGAATCTACCATCACAGTGCCCAGATCGTGCGTGGAGAAGACACTGGAGGGCTGGAAGGCAGACTCTTCCCAATGTTCAGGCAAATGCTGTTCTGACACTAGGTCAGGGTCGCCATGTAGGAGGTCCTGGCTTATGTCATCCGCTCCCGGGTCTGGGAACATTGTCTCCCCTTCCACGTACTCAGCAGCGAGGTTGTCCCAGTAACTGGAGCCAGCCTGTACATGACTGAGCAAACAGAAAATACACAAAGAAGCAAAGTAAAAGGAAGAGTGAGGTGACACACAGCAGATAGCCATAGTCCTCTCATTACAGTACCGTGCCATGCTCACTGGTGGCTGTCCTTTTGTGTTCTGTGCTGGGATAAAGCAGGGATGTCCTCTCAGCAGTCTTCACATCCTTATTATTCATAATTGTACAGTTTGCAGCCTGGTTACATCAGAAGGATGAAGGGACATAGAATAATAGGCAGCCTCTATTGCAGTGTGTTACCTGGGCATGTGATTCTAACAGATGTGACTCTGCTTCCTGTCTATGTGGCTGGAGGGGAAAGGAGCAGTAGCTGCTTTTTTTTTTTTACATTGAACTTTATTGACAAACCAGAAATTAACACATTTTCAACACAGCTGCTCTCCCATAGATGCATAGAGGAGAATTTTTAAAAACGGGAGCAGCCATAACCCGGAGCAGTTGCCCATGGCAACCAATCAGCTTTTTCTTTCATTTTCAAAGCTTAAAGTAAGGGTATACACGGTTAGAATTTTAAACGGACAAAATCGATTTCGGGAACGTTTGTTTGACTTTCTAATTGTTGATGGGATCAAATTGATCGATTTCAACCGTAGTGACAAAGAATTTAAAGAAGCATGTTGGAAAGTGTTTCTCGATCAGACAAAATTCTAACAGTGAATGTGGTTTTCGCTCAGGAAACTCCATTCATTCCAAAATCGAATGTTCAATGAAAACGAAAATCAAACGAAATTTCGAAGGGTAATCGCCAAGTCTCTGATGGCGTTATCAAACATTAAGATGGGATTTTTCATCACTATTTCCCTGAACACACTGAAGATAGAAGCTGATTGGTTACCACTGGCAACTGCTCCAGTTTTGATAAATTCCCCTCAGTATTATCAGGAGCTTTTGAAGCTTTTTTTGTGTGCATTTTTGCCACTTCTTAAGGGCTGCAGACATCCCAACTCTCACGGATGCTCCGGGAGTCTCCCGCTATTGGATAGCGGCTCCTGGCCGCCCGGGAGAGAAACACTTCTTCCCGGAAAGGTTTATCTGCTCGATCGAGCAGATAAACCTTTCCCTGCGATCATTTTTTTTTTTTTTTTCTGACATCAGGAGCCGCGGCCCGACCGTCAGTCAGAAAAGAAAAAAAAAGGCATACGAATCCATAGCTAGATTCCTATTGGCTATTGCACTTTGCAATAACCAATAGCAAACTAGGTAATGTACCCGCCCACTGCTGCTGTCAATCAGCAGAGGGGGACCTGAATTTTTCTATCAGGTCCTCTTCTGGTGATTGAAAGCAGCAGAGGGCGGGTGCAATAGCTAGCTTGCTATTGGCTATTGCAAAGTGCAATAGCCAATAGGAATCTAGCTATGCATTCTTATGCCTTTTTTTTTATATTCTGACGACTGCAACTGTCAGAATACTAAAAACAAAATCAGAAAAAAACCCTGCAGATAGCAAAGAAGCTATTGCTTCCTGTGCTATCTGCCATCATTTCAGGGGTGCGCTCTCCCAGCCCCCCTAACCCCCCTCCGCGGATGGGGGGGGCGTAGAGGGCACCTCCCTGAAATGAGAAGGACACCTCCCTGAAATGGCTTCTTTCAGGTTGGGATCCCTGGGGCTGTGTATTTTGTTTTAGTAAATGGAAAGCTAGTTACAAAGTCGCTTTGTAGCGTGTTCCCACAATGCGCAAAAAAAAAGGCCCGTCGCACTGGAAGTGCCATTCATTGTTAATGGCACCCCAGACACGCCAAGCATGAGGTGTGTTTGCATGCACAGATATGACACAAACGCAATAAAAAAAAGGGGGTAAAAACGTGCAAAGCTCTGAAGTGTGCAAGAGGTTCTTTCCTGAATTTGTAATGCTTAAGGCAGGTCATTGAAATGAATGGACTGCCCTAGACACAATGTGCTACAAATGCCAAGAAATGCGTTATGCAATGTCATGCTTCAGAAATGCAAATGGGTGCCTTGGAGTGAAATTGATCAAAAAAGGTGTGTTATGTGCGTTTTTTTTAGGTGCTCCCATTGAAGTTTATGGTAAGGTGACCAGATTTTTAAAATGAAATTCGGGGACATTTGTATAGCTTCTGACAGGCTGCACTTTTAGCGTAGCAGGAGCTACGCAAAATGCTTGGCCGGCTTCCACGCTACGCTAACAGCGCATCTTCTGAGAAGCTACATACAGGTGAAACTCGAATAATTAGAATATCGTGCAAAAGTTCATTTATTTCACTAAAGTATAATAGGCTGGGCACACACCTTTACAACCATCGCAAGACTTTGTCTTGCGATGGTTGTAAGGTACTTAAAAAAATGTACGATCTGCCTGTCTTCCACTATCATCACAAGAGCATTGTGTCGCCAGTTTTATACTCACCTGATCCCTGGATCCACCGACGAGCGCAGACGCCCGTCTCCTTTGCTGTCAGAAGCTGTGTACAGCGTGCGTCGGTTACTTTTTAAAACCGCTGCGCACTGTATGCAGCTTCTGTGAAGATACGCTACCATAGCGGGGAAGCCAGCTGCACATTGTGCATAGCTCCTGCTACGCTAATAGCGCAGCCTGTCAGAAGCTGCATATAGCGCGTGCCGGTTTAAGTAGTAACTGGCACGCTCTGTATGCAGCTTCTGACAGCGTTGGAGACCTGAGGCTGCGCTCGTCGGTGGATCCAGGGATCAGGTGAGTATAAAACTGGCGACACAATGCTCTTGTGATGATAGTGGAAGACCATGTGTATTGTTTTGTGTTATATTCCACCGGGAAAATAGCAGTGCACTTCCTGATATGCGAGTGTGCCTAGGTCAGGGGTAGCCAAACTCCGGCCCTCCAGCTTTGGTGAAACTACAAATCCCATAATGCATCTCTCTCTGGGAGTCATGTCTGTGGCTGTGAGAATCTTGCAATTCCATCATGGGATATGTAGTTCCACCACAGCTGGAGGGCCGGAGTTTGGCTATCCATGGCATAGGCAGTCCTGTTCCTAGTCTTATAGGTGTATATTTGTAATGAGAGATTAAGACACTGCTGCCTCTGACTGCTCTTCTCAGAAGATTTGGTGATGTCACTACTGTGCTTCTGGTTGGCGACTCTGACATAAGAGAACGTGCAGAAAGAGGTGAGGTTAGTCAGTAATAGGGAAAAGATCAGCCACATGGAGACCACAGGTAATACTAGTGACTAGTCCTTTGCCCGACTTTTTTTTTTAGGCACAGCTCTCAGGGCCTGTTCACATGAGTTTCAGGTCAGGATCAGCAGACGCGGTGCTATGTGTTTTGCCGCGTTTTTGATGCGTTCCAGTAAAAAAAAAAGTTTTTTTTTGCTGGAGTGGGGCTGTCAGTATGTTAGCAGTGCAGTGCGTTTTTGACGCATTTCTGGACCGTACAAAATGTGACATGCAGTATTTTTCTGTCGTAACCTGAACGGACTGCGCACGTGAGAACTGTAGCCCATAAAACACAGGGATACATTGGGATGCATTTTTAGTGCAGGAGCATACGGATCAGGTCAGCACAGAAAACGGACGTCGTGTGAACAGGCCCTCAGGGTTTACTTCCACTTTAATTTTTAAAAAGTTTGAATATATTGTAAATTTCTGTAGTGTAGTCACTGTTGTAACCAAGGCTGCCCACACACTGATCATTTTTTTTTTCTCATTCAGCCATGTGGGATATATGATAAACATTGTTTGATTCCCCCATCCACATTTAACAGATAAGCATAACACATGGGGTGTGTGGGAGGGAGGTAGGGTTGCCACATGGGCAGTCCGGTTTTGAGTTCTGTATGTGCTGTGTCTGGGTTTCAGCTAGCCTGAAACAGCACATACAGGACTCAAAACTCAGACTGTCCATGTGAATTCGGGACAGGTGGCAACCCTAGAGGGAGGGTTGAAAGGTGGGCTTACCCTCTTCCATCCCCATCCAATGTTGTATTATTGGAAAGCAGGTTCCACCTTTTGGAGCACCTTTCATGGTGCAATTAAATTTATTGTGTAACACAAATAATGGTTGCCATCCCCAAACTGCTTTCCCCCCCACACACATGGGGCATTTCTACCCGCAGCATGCTGTATTTTTGTGCCTGTGTTTGGGGAGCCACATCATGCATTCAGTGATCCAAGAATGGGTAGACTACCAGCCCCATCTGCCCCGCAGCAGAGTTCCTCACCAATTACACAGGCACAAGTGTACTTGTAATACATTATTTACTTCATCCAGGCCTGTAACAGAGGGCCCATATCTCCATACGGACCTAGGGCTGGGGTAAATAATTCAAGCTTGTGCATTGCGCGCATACACAACACACTGGATCACAGCTGCAATGCTCTGCAGGCTTCAATGTGAATCCTTAATAAAAATGCACATTTTTGAAAAAATTATTTGTTGGTGCAATTATTAATTTAAAAAAAAAAGTGAAATATGCCTTTAGGAGCTCAGAAAGCTGGATTTATTTAGAAAGACTGAAGAAGATGAAAGTAAAATTAAAGATCAAAGTGTAACAGGGTTTAGCACTGTTTTTGGTTGAGGTATGCAAAGTTGCACACAGAGAATTTTTTTTAATTCTAACTGTATCCAGAAGTTAAACCTCTTTTGTCTGTCAAAGTGTGCCCAAATGTCTTGTGGTGACCTTAAAGTGACCAACTTTCCACAGAATTTGCTCTGTTCTTCTGAAAATGCTAGCTATCTTGCTTTAATACCTTGAGTCATTGACACCAGAATTATGTGATTACAGATAAGGGGGATCATTGAAACCATAGCACCAAGATAATTAGCATTTTCAGACACACCGGTGGCCTACATCCACTATATGGCCAACAGTTTGTGGAAAACTGACCATCACACCTATATAAGTTTTTGGATATCCCATTCTTAAAGCATGAATATGGAATTGACTCCCTCCACCTTCCTCATTTGCTTCTGTAACAGCCTCTCTCTTCTGGGAAAGTTTTCCATAGGGATGCACCGATGCCAATACCGAGTATTTGGGTGAGTACTCGCCCAAATGCTCCGATACCTTTCTAAGATAGCAGAACTTCCAGTCAAAGGAAGATTTCCTCTAACCGGCAGTGCTGTAGGGGAACATGGAGCCAGCTTCCCGGCCAATAAGGAAGCGGCAAGTAATGACCCCCCTCCCTGATTGGCTGGGAAGCCGGCTTCCCAGCCAATCACAAATCGAGCCGGCCAAACAACATGGAGCTGGCTTCCTGGGCAATCAGGAAGGCAGGCAGCATGTCATTATCCGCCGCCTGGCTTCCTGATTGCCCAGGAAGCCGGCTCCATGACAGCGGAAGCACCGGTACTCCGTAACATTGAGAACCGAAAGCATATATGTACTCGATACCGGAAAACCGGTATCAGTGCATACCTAGTTTTCCATAAGATTTTGAAGGGCAGCCGTGAGTTTGTGTACAATCAGCCTACAGAGTATTTGTGAAATCGGGTACTGATAGTGCATGAGAAAACCTGGCTCCTAATTAGTGTCACAATTCATCCAAAATGAGATCAATAGGCTTAAGGCCAGGGCTCTGTGCAGGCCACTACATTTCCTCCATACCAAACTCGTCAAATTATATTATGGACCGGAGTTTGTGCACAGGGGCAGTCATGCTGGGACAGAACGGGTCTTCACCAAATTGTTGCCCAGGGTTGGAAGTACATATATTTGTGTACTGTAACATTACCGGTATCCTTTATGGGAACCACCTAAACTCAAATTTGGACACTCACATACTTTTGGCCATATAGAACCTCTACTTTGAATTTTCAGGTACAGAATGGTGACAAGAGGTCTCTGCAGGCATAACCACTCATGGTATAAGTGCAGGGGCATGCAGCCTTTTGCACAGATACTAAAAACTGAACGGTAATCCAGGTCCTATGAAAAGCTTTATGAGAGTTACAGCAAGGGCAGGGGAATAGATTTTATTTCTGTACAAATGTAAAGAGGCATTGGCAAAACACACACGTAGACAAAGAAAAAGTTTTAATGTATGCATATATAATTTATATAGTTTCCCTCTTAAAATCAACACAGCAAATATGACGCATGAAGACGGCAAAGTCTACAATTTCCGAAGTGCTTGAGTGGCTTTAATGCTCGTTATCAGATAAAATACTGACAGTCGCCTACTGGGAATAACTCTCCACTGGACAACAGGGAGTCTTGCTGTGAAGGGTCTCCATCTGAGGCTGCAGCTCTGCTCTCAGAGATCATTGTCCTTCACTTTCATGCAGGAGTGTTTGGGAGAAGAACCAGGGCATGGAATGCGAGGTTCTTAAGGCTGGTTGACACTCCAGTGTCCTTATTAGCTACAACCACTCTTAAGGAGAAGGCTACGAACTGGAGCAGTTCCCTTCCAAGGCCTTTCGATTTCTGGTTTAAACAAGTAGTACTAACACAAAATGCACAAAAATCTGAATTTCATTGCTAACAGAAAAAAAAAAAAAAAAAAGAGACAGAACAACAAAAAAACAAACTCTTACTGTTCTTCCATTAGCTGGCATATCCAGGAAGGAAAAGAGCAGTATGCAAAGCACAGAAACCCATAGTATCCACGCAGCAGATATCGACCAGCAGTCAGACATTAGGGAAATGGATGCTTATAGGTTGCTATGGGCTTTAATACTTAACATTCTGACATTTCCATTTGCATTGCTTATTTTAAAAAAAAGCTACCCATTGTTAGAGACATTATCAGTGCTTATGACCACAGTGTGCCCTAGTTATCCCTAAAACCCAACTCCAGCCAAAACAGTTTATGTATATCTGAAGAGACTAGGAATCGATGAGAACTTCTATAATGCTTTCATTGTCTTTGACTCCTACGAGAAAGATCTCTCAAGAGCCTTTCCTGACACCACAGAATAAAGTTGTTGTGGTCTCATCTCTTCCAGTCCCTCTGAGCCACAGCCATTAGAACATGAAGCGAGTGTAAATCTCCCGATTGGGGACACACAGTAATGTAACCCTTCCCCACTCCAGCCAAAATGATTTGCTTTCTTTTGGACAGAGTTGGGTTTTAAACCAAGCTGATCCTCGGAGTAAGTTCTCTTTTTTTTTTATATAGTAAAAGGAAGAAAAGTCTCGTCTTCATCCTCTGAAGTAAGGATCGAACAGTTCTTATTACTGATAGACACTTCTGTAATTTAGTCTATGCTATATGAACTATGACATAACACTTGATGACCAGGCCACTCGCTTATTCGTCACTGGTTGTCCAGCGCAAACAGTAGAATGATCAAATAACAGGACGTGGAAAGGGAAAAATAGCCATATAATATGAATAATTGCACCAAATCACATCTGTAAACCAACTTCACACACAACAAATAATGTCAACTCTTAGAGAGCATTAAAGATGGATGATTTAATTATTTTTAGAAAAATAAAGTATTGCCAGAAGCCATAATTTAAAGGGGCTAGATAACTCTGCTAGGCCCAAAAACATGGACCATCATCATGCTGATCATCCTTAAATATATTGTTTTCGTATTGGGGACCATAGTTGACAACTTTAAAACCGTTCTATCTAACCAGTATGGTCTAATGGGTTTTATTATTTGCTTCAATGACAAAGTTGAATAAAATGAAGACACCCCAAAATTTGCAGGTGTGGCAAAAAAAATCTTATTCATCTTAAAAGAATGTATTTATGACATATTAGAAATTTGATCTCTTCACACACTGTCCAGGTCAGTTCATATGTGTTATAAACTTTTCTTAACATTTCTCCGAAAGGCAGATCAATGCAAATAGGTAATAACCAGTGTATTGTGTATAAGCTCTCTTCTGAGCAGGCAACTCTACATTCATCCCAACCAAGACAGGTTTGTGCTCCTCAGTGCAGACAATTTGGTCAAAGAGGGACACATTCAGTTAATCCTTAAATATCTTCATCTTTAGAAGGGAGAGGATATGGGGCACGAGCGGACTTTGGGAGCAAAGTTATGTGAAATAAAGACAATAAGGGGCAATCAGAAAGAAAACATAACGGTCCTTCATTTCTGGGTGTCCTGGTTGTAGTAGCATAGTTAAAAGACCAAGGTGGTTAGCAAAATATTTTAAATGTCACTGGGGGTGATCACCACCAACTCTTCTATCTCTAACTAAGAAGTTGTCGGATCTCCTTGTGCATGTGACAGAGGAAGTCTACATAGGAAGCCCCTCCATTCAGGTTCTTGTCTTCCACCAGCATGTGTTTGAAGAACATCTCAAGCTTGTCATCCTGTTTCACAACCAGCAACTATAAAGATAAAGATTAATATAAAATATAGGCTACAGAGCATGTCCCATATAATCTTAAAGTCAGTCTAAAGGAATAATGGCAAAAGCGCTTTGAGTTTTTTTTCCCTTTCTCCTAGGCCTGTATATATACTGTTCCTTACATGTTGTATACATTATCAATACAATGCTCATGCCTGCCCTAGTAACAGGGATATTTCAACTCAATGCATCAAAATGTACTGAAAAATTACCCTGGGCCTAATAAGAGAGCGGTTTAGGATGGTCGTTGCTGACTTAATTAAAAATAAAATGTTGCGAAGATGTCATGCTGACGCTTAAGCTTAAATGCTTTTTGATCACTGACCTGGATCATATACAGCTATAAGGGTTTGTGACTTCTCCCTTGTATGTATGACCGAGACGTACCAAAGCCAAAAGAAGGTTGGTAATGGCAGCCACATATTTCTATTGTGATAGGCATATCACAAAGGACAGCGAATTGTCAGGACACCTCTACCAGGTTACTGAATCACTAAACAGTAAAAAGAGGGATAAGCATGACGGACCCTGGAGATCTTTAACTAAAAGACAGTAATGACAGATCTCATGTCTACCCTAACATGTTCCTTTCATGTCTAGCCTGTTAAAGTGTCTATTATAACACTTTGTACTTCATGCAATCTGTAATACAAAAACATAAAAATCAAAGCACGGCTGGGCCCTGTGCATAGTTGCATTTAAACAGTCAATTCTAAGCAGATACAAACAGAAAACTGTAGAATGAAATCATTACATACCTTCATATATCGTGGCCTCTGGGCTCTGAACATTGTGATAATTGCATGCATTTTATTTGAGATTGGATTATCCAACACAGGTAATGCACTCTGTAAAGAAAACAAATAACATCATTTTAGTATGTACAAACAAGCAGCTTTGGTTTAATACAAATAGCAATATATGTATATTTAACTTTACATTGCATACGTTTGTATTGTTTTATAAGCATACCAAAAATGATGATAATAATGTTGTCATTCTTGGAAAAGAATTGACCTTCATTTTACTTTTTAACTCCATAAATGTCACCTTTTTACATATAGAAATCAAAAGGCCTTTGTAAACAGTTATTCAATCTATTGTCTCATGAAGAATTTATCGCTTTGGTAGCAATTGAATATCTGCTACAAATTACCAACTTCTCAACAGGTAAAGTATTTCTATAAACTATTAGAAAGGAGCACTAAAATGATAGAATGGCCTCCTATGAGGAAGTGGGGCCCCTACAGTTTCAACATTAACCCCTACCAAACTTTGATTGATGTATTTTAAACCTCAAACTATTTGCGGACCTCACTTCTATGGAAAAAGGAATAGGAAATTGGTCAAAACCCCTCAGGGGTTATCTTTTTTGCAATCAGTGTCCCATTGGGGTGATTTCCCTTTACTCTCCCGTAGACACAGCAGGAAGCAAGGGGAAATCTCTGCAAAAGTAAGGGAAATCCCATGGGCTGTTCTTTGAACAGGTGAACCCAATGGAAGGTTTCCCCTCTATTCCAGTTCTTGTGATAACTCAATGTTCCCATCACTTTCAGTCCTAGTGACAATGATCACTGGGACAAACAGAGAGGGTGAATCTGCCTATTGTTGGCTTTAGATTCAGCACAGATAAAGCACAACTAGGGCCCGAACTTTATTTACAGGGTTATTCACACAAAAGGGTGAAGAGTTTGGAGAAGACAGGAGAAGTGAACAATCTAGTATAAAATAGCTGATTTGGAAGCATTCTTCAATTCAGTTCACTTTCCAGTTCAGCTATGTTGTCCTAGATCAGCGATGGCGAACTTATGGCACACACGCAACAGAGGGCACGCAGAGGCCCCTCTGGTGCCACGCATGCCTAGGCAGGGGCGTCGAATTCATATCGCCTGACGTATGGGACATGCACTTCCGGATGCCGTGTAGGTAGTTTTTCTACATTTATCCCTGCTTCAGGCAAGCAGAGCTAAATGTAGAGAGGGAAAGCTGTAATAAGCTTGCTGGTCTGTCCCCCGCTCCATGGTCCGCCCAACACTGGCTGCCTCTCTCCCTGCCCTGGTATAAAGTAATAAAAAAAAAATCAAATGTTTGAATAAGTGTGTTTTCCCTATTTTGCCAAAGTGCCCAAACTAAGACACAAAACCAAACTTATTTTCAGTGTTTGCACTGTGAGATACATTGTTTATGCATTGAAGTTTGGGCACTTGGGCTCAAAAACATTATCAATCACTGTCCTAGATTGTTTACTTCTCCTGCCTTCTCCAAACTCTTCAACCTTTTGTGAATAGCCTTGTCATTTTTTGGATAGACAAGAGAAGGGTATCTTTTTATTGCCATACATGACCCTGATGAAAAAAATTCACCTCACTTTTATCAGGACATAAAACGAAGGTAGTGGTTGTCAATGGAACAGAAAAAGAAAAGCCAGTGGGGTTCTAGCCCTGTTTTACTTAATAGTATTTTGTTGCAGTCCAAGCCTTGCTGGAGAGATTTCCTCATGGGGTAACTGCAATAAAAAAATCTGACAGGTTCTTCCCCTTCCCCTCTTGGTCCAATACAATAAAAAAAAAATATAAAGTTTTGGCTGCAGTTGGGCTTTAGCATACATACAAAATAACAAAACTTTATACTATTAATTTCTGAATGTTTTTAGTTGTTCACATCCATTAAACAAAACAGCACATAACTCACCAAACTAGAGTCTATCTGGCTGAATGACGACACTCCAAACAGGTTGTGGATGAGAGCCTGCTGCACATTTGCACCAACCCATATAAATAAGTTCACCCCATTCTCGAGCAGATATATTTCACCCTTAGAGAGACGTTCTTCTGAGGCACGGATAGCGACAGGCAGAGAATCACTGGTAGGATCCACTTTGGACTGCACAAAAAAACAAGAAACAACAAACTGAATATTACGTGCATAAATATAAAAATAAAATGTCCAAGTCATATGTAAAAATATTAGATTACACTAACAATGTACTGACTGATGTTACAAAATACCACTGAAGTCAAACCACTGAAATTCAATACAACCACTAAAAGGAAGATATTGGAAAAGTACTTACAAAGGCCAAGAGCCTAGGATAGAAAAAGACATTTGTATCCGCAACATCCATGGATGAAATAAGCTGACGCACGTAGGCCCGGTCATCAATGGTCACCTCAGCACCAGGCTGCAACACGTCACTTTTCAGCACACAGTTCAGGTAAACTGGAAGCAGCTTCATGCATTCGGGGAGGATCAGCTGGTAAGAGAGTAAACAGATGAATACATGTTTGGAATAGAAGGAATTCTTAAGTGTGATTTTCTGACCATATTCCAAGCATGTTACCTGGCCTGCAGAAGAGGGGCTAGCACAGTTCTTGCGATAGCATGCCAGGACCTGTGCACACTGATTAATCATGGTGTCTCGAACAGTCTTTGTTGGATTATTTAGGACTCCACGGAAAGCTGCAAAAGTAACAAAGGCAAATTAAGAGCTTAAAAAGGAGAATTATGAGAGTGATTTTCACTCAGCCTCATAATCTGAGCCGACCTGTACGAACACATACCGGCGCTCGCTCACTTCGCGATCTATCCGTGCAGAGAGCCGCGACTGTCACTCCCTGAAGGGATTCCCTCCCCTGTCGGATTCTCCAGCGCTGACAGGCGGAACGGACGGTGGAGGGGGCGGGTACAGCTGGCTCTGCCTCTAGATAGAATGTCCAGAATGTGTCATGCCTTCAAGGATACTTAATTCTGCCTGTATGCCAACTCTACATTTTTTTGACTACTACAATACACAAATGTAAGACGCATAGCACTCACCAAGCTTGGCAAAGTAGTTGATCAGCGTGTCAGTCTCACAATTTCGGTACAAGTCTGCTAGCTGTGTGCAGCAGGTCAGAGCCATGTTATGTATCCGAAGCCTACGCTGCCCTCCGCAGCTGGTATACAGGACAGCACACTGGGAGATAAAGAGGGAAAACGAAGAAACCGTTATGTACAAATATCAATGCCATGGAAATGACCAGCTAATTAAAAGAAAAGAAAAAGAAACCCCCACAATTAAACAGATCATGAAATTAACTGTAGGGTTAAGCATCCACATAAAACAGAGCACTTTAAAAACGGGTCACACACTATCTGCCAAGTGACAGCAACGTAGATGGGATGCATCCCACTGGTCTCCATCTACCTACACTGGTAGTGCAAAATAGAAAAAGGCAGACGACACAGGAAGCCACTCATCGCCTTGTTTTCTGCAGTTGTGTAGTACAAGGTAGACCTCTCGTACGCGAGTAAAGGAAACCCATTTAGAGGGAGGATGACAAAGAAACTAGACTGGAATCCTACAGTCACCCTTTGCTAGCACATCTGGTCAAATCAATTGCAACCAGAATGGGAAGCATAACAAATCACTAAGGTAAAGACTCTGATTCTTTGAAGGGCACAAAAAAAGCCAATAGAGGTGTCTGCTATTTTCTGTCTGTAGCCTATATCCTAGCATCACACTACCCACCATGTTATGTCAGCATACTTAATATCCAATTCATGAAGTCAGCCACCTGGGACACTGTGCACTCCTGCTTGCCATAGGCTCCTTCCCCCATCAATCAAACTGTTGGTTGTAAAGGAGTGGCCTGGCCTGGCGCAGGGCTGTGTGTGTCTATGGATGCACATAGCTACTGCGGGCATGGCTGGGAATGAGCACACACGGGTGCCTCCACAGCAGCTGCTTAGCTGATGAAGCAAAAATACAGCAGTTTCATACAAAAGGTGGGCTTCCTAATAGGAAGTATTAAAAAAAAATCTGAAGCCTTAATATCACTTTAAGGTAGGCCTATTTTTTTTTTTTTAAGAAAGACCGAGTGGACTTTCAGATATAAGCACAGCAACAATGATTCCTGGATAGAAATAAGCATTCTGCTGACAGAGTTGGAAAACATTTGCCAGCTAGCCAACACCACTGAGAGCAAAGCATGGTACACAAAACAAAGAAGTGATGTCAAAATTGAACAACTGACATTTAGATTGCCGAGGGCCATTAGAGGGTCTGTTTACGCCGACAAGCGTGTTTTATATGAAAGCTGATTTTTTTTTTATTTTACTCCAGCTACAGGAGGCAAAATGGTTGAATTGTACCTGAAGGATGGCTCCTGTGTCTTCATTCAGTTTATCATCATGTTTGAACTCAACGGTTATGGTTTTATCGCAGTCCAGCCCAGCCAGCTCTACATCAGTGGTGTTACTCATGTAGAAAGCACCAAAGAAGTCAGTTGCACGAATACCTGAAAGGAAAAAAAAAAAAATGAAATTCTGTGACTCTAGCCTTTAGCACTGGTCTGGCTGAAAGTTCACAACCATAAAACTTTAGTGTTAAATCTTTGTTTATTTCAAAAGTAAAAAAAAAAAAAAAAAAGAGTCAAGACAGTTCCAAATAGAACGAAAACAATAGTCCTTTGTCCTCTGAGTGAGAACTCAATCAATATTGGATAAAAACTGCAACAGCAAAAAATTCATGCATATAAACAGTTTCCGAGAGTGTCAGAGGTAGAAGAATTTATCCATACAGCCGAGAGCGCATAAAAAGCCTCATATCTGTCAGCCGCAACGGCCAATAACTCATCCACGTGCATAATGTCATTCATAATATTAACCCAACGGGGAAGAGATGGAACCACCGCAGTCTTCCATAAAACCTGAATAACTTGACGAGCAGCCGAAAAAGTAAACCAGAGAATAGAGCCTCTTCTTTCTCCCTCTCAAATAGGATGTAAGGATAGAGGATCTTTATACCAACGCGATAAAAACTTTATAAATTTTCTCTTGTGTATAAATAGGACATGGATGACTTGTGAGTACTGTATAATGAAAAGAGAAATCCAATTCCTCTGCAGAGAGATGTTTACTTAAATCTCTCTGCCAGGACTCAACCAATCCGACCAGGCCAACGGTTTCCCCGGTAGAAAGAAGCTCATAAATAAAAGAAATCGTATGATAAGGGAGATCTGATTGCACACACAGCTGCTCAAACGCTGCAAGAGATCACCATGAGGCTTTTTAAAGCAGTCACAGAAAATCTAAGGTGCTAACAGACCATATAAAATGTGATCATCAAAATGTAACCACATTTAGCAATTGTGTTTATCTAAAAGCCGATCTAAAAAGGAATCCTTTTTCAGATGTAAAATGCTGGTAGCATAACAATGAAGTGAATTGTACTTGTCAGCCAGAGTACTCACCAGTGCTAGTCCTGACTCTCATAACTGAGTCAAATCCTATGTCTTTCTGAACATCCCTACGTAGATCGTTTAGGAACCTCTCCCTATCCGTCTCCATCTGCCAGAGAAAAGATTTTCATAAAAATAACTGCAGTTCTGTTCAAATAAGGTTCTCTCAATAACAAAAATCTATAACTGGAGCATTTTGCACAATAAGGCACAGGCAGTGATAATACAGTTCTATCATGTCTATGTTTGACAGCTGCGTGGATACCTGCATTCTAGCAACACTGTATGCAAGTCAAATAATTCCAGGTGTACATAATACACAGCAGAGGCAAGTGATACTTGCACCCAGTTAGGACAGTGTAAACAGCAGACAATTACACATGTACAGTTTCATATAGTTACCTGGAAGAAAGTATACTTGTAAACTGAACCTCCAGTCTGAAAAGGAACAACACCAAGCGTAGCCACATCCACAAACTGATTGGGAAACAGGAACAGATCCACACAACAGCCTTGGGCAACACAATCCTTGGCCAAGTTGTTATAAAAAGTTGTCTGAGGCTGGAACAAGCTCTGCAGAAAAGGAAACAAGGCATAGTTTAATTCCCACTACACAATTAAAACTACAGAAGTTTACAATAGATGGATGCTACCTCTACAATGAGAAGTGTTCTAGTGTTGGCCCCACTAATTTCAACAGAGGTAAATTACGTGCTTTTTTTATAGTTAAGATTGAGAGAGAATAGCCTTTGGGTTTTAAATAGGATGGAGCATACTAAAACAAAGATATGGCTTTAAGGGGAGTTCATATGGGCAAAGATGTGCTCTACCTACACATGAGTCTGATATATGGAACAAGCAGCTGGGATCACAGTTGTAAGAATATACAGAACACTAAAAAGAAATCCCACAAGTACATGTGGCAATGGTTATACTTCCATTTAAAAAAAATCCATGTAAAACAAACATTACCTTTTCCTTGTCGGTATTGAGGAGTTTCTTATCATCCCTGTTCTTGACCTTTCCTGGAGCCTCAGCAATAGGAAGAGTAGTGTGGAAAACAAAGAGCTTCCCAGCACAGTCAGCAGACTAAACAGACAACATATGAATGTTAAGTAAAGTTGTCGAACAGGACATTTCTGGCAAAGTTTTCAAGCAAACTGGTAATCCTACCCTCAGTGCTTCCAAACCGGCCTGGATGACTGGGCCAAAAACGGTCTCAGTTTCTCTTGTGTCTGCAAACAGTTCTGGAATCTGGTCAAGCAAACTTATAAAGAAAAAAAAAATAATAGTAATTTTGCAAGGAAATAGTCAACAGGTATCTACTAAATCTACTCCACACAAGAACAGTTAATGCCAAAATGTGAAGGGACCTTAAAAGGAAAACTATGAGGCGAGTGCCTTTCACTCATCCTCACAGTTCTAGCCAACCTGTGACAATGAAACTGTCACAAGTCGGCTCAGTTGATCGGGAAGTGAGCTAACACATACCGGCGTTCGCTCACTTCTTGATCCTGTCTCAGCTCTCTGCCGTGACAGGGGAGGGACTGGATTCCCCCCTCCCTGCGCTGACTGGTGGAACGGACGGGTACAGCTGGCTCTGCCTCTAGATAGGCAGAGCCAGCTGTCCCTCACGCAGCTGGGCGGATCCAGACATAATTGTCGCTGTAGCTTGCGGTATACTGAGCTTAGGGTGACGGGAAGACGCTAGTTTGTGTCCTCCCGTTACCCTAAGGAGAACTATGGGGAAAAGCCCTAACCCCATAGTTCTCCTTTAAACAAATGGGAATTACTACACCGGTTACCAAAAACATTGTTTAAAATAGATTGTACATTTGTAACCCATCCTCTTAAAAAAGGAAACTACAAGGAAGTCCACTCCAAAACAGAGAAAAGAGGGCAAATGTATTACTCTTTGTTGACTGAGTAAGCATTCTACAGGGAAAAAAAAATATGAAAAAGCGAAGGGATGACCATGGCAGCCAACCAGATATCAGTTTCCATTTTCTAGAGCAGGACCTAAAATGAAAGCGAACATCAGTCTGCAATATTTTTTGAGACACATTTTTTTTTTCTGTTTAAAAGATACCCAGACATTTCTATAAAAAGCTTCTTTATTTAAATATGGATTCTTTCAATTGTAATAGAATAATATTTAAAGTTAACATGCACCCAGATTATGTACATTTATTTACATATTCTGAACAAGCAGTAAACGTTCCATAAAACAAGAGCTCATTCATCTCTGTATCTGCAAGCATTCTCACAGTTCACAACACAGGCAGTGTATTTTTCTGAGAGCAGAATCTTAGCAGGCTACCAGCTCATAATGTGAATACACAGTAAGTGTCTCTAAGCTGTTAGAAATGACTGAAACCTGACTTCAGGATCTTTGTTGTGATCATTGAGAATAAATTACTTCACATTAATAGCAGCTAGAAACGGTCAGTGACAGTTTCCTTTAAAGCTCTTTTACTGCTTGTTAAAAAGGAGAATTATGAGGCAAGTGATTTTCACCCAGCCTCATAACCTGAGCCGACCTGTGACAATGAAACTGTGACAGGTCGGCTCAGTAGATCGGGAAGTGAGCGAACACATACCGTCGCTCACTCACTTCTCGATCTATCCCTGCAGAGAGCCATGATTGTCACTCACGGCTCCCTGCAGGGATCCCCCCCCCTGTCCGATCCTCCAGGCAGAGCCAACTGTCAATCCCGCAGCTGGGTGGATTCAGACAGTATTGTCGGGAACCGCCCCGGCTGCGGCGTCTCAATATAACGCAAGCTGTAGCTCGCGGTATCCTGAGCTTTGGGTCACGGGAGAACACTAGTTTGTGTTCTCCTGTGACCCTTAGGAGAACTATGGGGAAAAGCCCTGACCCCATAGTTCTCCTTTAAGAATATTTTTGTACTCCTCGTGGAAGGTCAATAGGAAATCTTTAACATTTGGGTTACACTGGAGCATTCAGAGGACTGGACACCGGCAAAGGAAGACCACCTCCCCTATTACCAGCATTCTTCTTTTTTTAGTTTTCCTAGGAGGATAGACATCTTTTTGTCTTTCTAGCAGATGGACATGTTTGCCTTTTCTGTGCCGCTTAATGTACAAGAAACAAAATATAAAAACTCTAATGTCCATGGTCTGGGCTCAGGAGCTCCCACACAACCACTAAAAATGAAAATCATATTTGCATTGGGGTGCCTGCTCTATAAAAGGCGATAGATGAAAGATAGGTATTTATGTGGCCTTACAGCAAATGTAGACCTCATTGAGGATATGTATCCTAGTAATTCAAAGGGCAGAAAAGCTGGTCAGCACAGCTGGATGCTTTGAAATGTGTGGGTCCTTTTTCATGTAGGGGCACACAGAACAGGGGAAGAAGTTTGCAGGAAGCCAACTTCTACCCAAGTCACCAAAACTGAATGAAATACCATTATCTTAACTTGCTAAATCAAGCATATGAGTAAAATGTAGTGAAAACCTTAAGAGTTTATTACCTAGTGATGACCGTCCTAGACTCGTTTACATTTACAAGAAAGCCATCCAGCAAAGGGACAAACATATCGGCCACGTCTGACACCACCATCATCTGTGGCTGGGCCAAGGAGCTCTTCACATTATAGAAATGGAGCACTTTGTTATAGGTTACAAAGCCCACTCGTATCGCCGACTCTTCCTGGTTCCCTTCCCTGAAAGGAAAAGATGAGACAATTATCTTTGGAGGGTATTCCCTGGGTCCTACGTCATGGAAAATTATCAATTTCAGTCACCTGGCAGAACGGATAAACTAAAAATACACTAGCAGCAAAAGAGAACTGATCCAAAAGTATAGAAAACCTCACCTTTTTTTTCCAGTTAGGATTTGTTAACAGTAAATAAAAGTAATTCACCGACACACACTTGAAGGGTTTTTAAAGTATTGATAGGTTTATTCAATACCCAATGTCACATACTGTCATACGGTGCTAACGTTTCGGGTCCGCACAGGGATCCTTCATCAGAGCGACAGTGACACGACTATGGCACATATATGGTGGCAGTGCCGCGTTGTAAATAAATATTGGACAGAGGTGGGTAAGATCATCTCCTCTATACGGGGATCACCCATGAGTACGGACCACTGGGTAATGCTATTCCATAAAAGTGAGGGTTCAGTGATAAGATATAAAACAAACAATCTATTAGACCTCATCTTTTGAATCGTTTGATCCCACTATATGGGAAGCATATAGAATCTCCCTCAATAAAAGGAATGGTTTAAATAAAAATAATAAAAATAAAATCATATATGCTCTATGGAAGAATTGTTTTTTAGTAGTCAAAATAAACATTACATTTTTTGTGGTTTATATCCAAGAATTCAGAAGAATATTTATCAGTAATGACTTCACACAAATGAGAACGAAAATGAAACGTTTTCTGTGCTGACCTGATCCGTACGCTCCTGCACTAAAAATGCATCCCTGTGTTTTATGGGCTACAGTTCTCACATGCGCAGTCCATTCAGGTTACGACAGAAAAATACTGCATGTCACATTTTGTACGGTCAGGAAACGCAAAACGCATTAAAAACGCGTCACAAACGCACTGCAGGTAACATACTGACAGCCCCACATAGCCCCGCGTCTGCTGATCCGCACCTGAAACTCATGTGAACAGGCCCCGAGGGATGAAATTGGAGAGAGTGGCACTGCGCATACATGGATTGGTTTACGGACAACAGGTACAATAGAGGTTAGAAGGGATCAATGTAATGTCTTGTCTAATTGTTGCGTGTTTGTCAGCTATGTAAAATGTGAGAAATTTGGATTGTTGTCTGAAATAAATAATTATATAACGTAATCATTAAGGAGCAGCACCCTAGGCTGCTCTCCCGATATGGACTACAAACACCTACCCCTCTCAAAAATGGGGAGGGGTTAACAGAAGGAAACTGGGATGCCTGAAAACATTACTTTAGATTTTAGATCAGTGCACCCAAAGTTTCAAGATCACTGGGTTGACTAGAATCAATAGGTTTTTTCTGTACTTCCAGAATATGTACTTGGCTTGAAAAAAAAGAAAACAAATGCAGCCAGCACAACGCAAGACTTGTAAAGTGCAATATCCAGAAAAGCAAAAAACTCACTGCTCCAATTCCACCAGACTGCAGATCAATATAGACATCGGGTGCAGGCTGCAAAGTGCTCCCACTGGTCAAACAATCTCTCTCCAATCAGCCACACCAAACCAAGGTCCATAAAAATCTAACTATGATTAAGCCCAGGTGGTGAAACGGTGGAGCGGCGTTGGAGTGGGAGAGATGCTATGGTGGTGTATACCTTGTATTTTGAACTTTGCATGGAATTTACAACCGTAAAGTTGGATTGTTACGGACCTCGGTTTTGTGCGGCTGATTGGAGAGAGATTGTAAACTGCAATATTACATTTTTGTTCCTAGGTTTTGACATACTTAAATATTAGTAGAGGTTTGCTTCAAAAAGAGTACTAAATATTTAAAAGTGATGATTGAAAAAGGGATTGGGGTAGTTATATAAGCATTAACTAGCTGCCAATCAACCAATTTGGACATAAAAGACTTCTGGCACAACCTGAAGGCTTTAGATCAAGCAGGACATAACAGAGCAGAGCACACAGTGCACATATGTAGTGTGTACAAGAATTTTCAGTTCTACTCTATACAAGATTAAATAAATCACTGGATGAAGAAATGGCTCCCAACTGAAACACATATATATTTTTTCCTGGTTAGTCTTACCCATTCTAACACAAGTAACCATTGGATGCGTGCCCTATGAATTATATACTAATAAATCAATCTGAGTTCCAACTCACCTGGGCAGGTAGTCAATCAGTTGCTTCAACTCCTCACAGACCAATGCTACCAATCCGCTCTTCACAGCATTATAGGACACATCAAGCATGAAAATAAAAGCTGGAGGGTTTGGGATTTTGTTATTCTGCCGCCAAAAAAAAGAAATATTTGTCTTGAAGTCAGGTCAACAAAATATCTGCTTCAGGAAAACACAAAAATAACATCTATTTCTATACATTATGAGCTGTGGAACACAGCATTTGCCAATACACAATAGCAGTTACAGTCAGGGGTGTGAAAATGTTTAAAAAAAAAAAAAAAAAAACAACTTGTCCAAGGACTAAAGCGGGGGGCCCAATCTACCTGTCCCTCATGACAATCTACTTGTGATACAATTTTTTTTTTTTAACCAAAACCATATTTTACCGTGCTAATAAGCTCTTCTCATTGGTCAGTGCAGTAAGGTGACCGTGCTGACCAAAGAATCCTCGCAAAATTAAAAATTTTGGCATGTACAGGGTAGGGAAAGTACACCCGTACCAGTGGTGGGCTCTCAAGAAAAATTAAGTATAGCGGAAGAGGGGGCCAGATTTGAGCGGGTAATTCCATTTTTCCCCAATTACTTGGGAACATGAACCTACCCCTTTAATGCACATGGAGGGGGATTTATCAAAACTAGAGCAGACAAAATCTGGAGCAGCAGTGCATGGCAACCAACCAATCGGCTTCTCTATTTCATTTTCAAATCTTGAACAAGTTGGAGAGAAGCTGATTGGTTGCCATTGCTCCAGTTTTGATAAATTCCCCCCATTGTGTGCGTGAGAGCGCGCTGCTGCCCAGCTACCACAATATGACACACAGTGGAGTGGGGGCAGCACTCAGCGCAGCACACACAATTCCTATTCACATGCAGATGGCGGGGGCGACAGGGTTGGTTTTAAAAAGAAAAAGTTTCCCCATTTTTTTTTAACTTAATGTTTTTTTCACTCAACTTTATTGCTATCACACAGGGCCTAACAAGCCCCTACGTGATAGCATTTAGAGGTGACAGGTTCTCTTTATGGAGCCTGCCCTCCAATACATAAGATTGAGCACAGCATTGTCCTCTATCTCCTGTGCAGCCTGGCTTTCGACACCCGAGGCTGGAAGCACTGCGAGTACATATTGTTTTATTCTAAAAGAAGCAAGAAACCCGTCTCATGACCACCATTGTAAAGCTGCTACTTTCAAAGGGTAGAAGATGACTTCATTCTGTAAACATCTAAAATTGCTTTACCTTGCAGTAGTCAACAGTTGCTGTGAACTCATAGGATCCCATAGACAGCTCAGGCCTATCATAGCAATCCACCCTCTTGCCGGTATGATCCAAATGTTGGAAGTAGTGTGGGGGCACTGGCACAAACATAAAGAGAGACATGTCATAATAGAAACAAAACCTGTAAATAAGTGCAAGAGACTAACTACCACAAAAAACGAGTTAACATATGTTATTTACTCTCTGACCATTTTATTACCAACAGCTCTGCATCACATGGCCAAATATCACCCACATAGGCATGCATGCTTCTCCTAGACTGAACTACATTGCCCTACTGCAGGTGGCCCAATGGCCATTGTCATGCTCACTGAGGATCAAACTACACAAGAAGCAGCAAAGGTTAGCTTATCTAAAATGCCATTATCATGAATCCAGGAGGCATTATACTCGGTCATATGCATTATATTTGACTTCTAATAACATTCTGTCACCACAGTCAGTGTTGTTACTATTTATTCCCTGACATTTAGCTTTAAAGATCATATTTTCATTTCAATAGCAGAGGTTTTAGATTTCTAAGTCAAAAATGTAATGTTTCTCCCTTGCAATATGGCAACCTAAAGATGTTCTGTACACCACTGGTATTCAGAATGTCCCATAACTAATTTCTTACTTGTGGGATTAGCTCACTGCTTTTGTCAAAAGCCTGAAGATAGATACAAATTAAGTATTAGGCATCACCATCAATAGGAGTTTCATTATGGAGAGCAACTCCCCAAGATCTGTCCTCTTCTAAAATGGACAAATGCAGCTTTTGTCAATTCAACTGACTTTCCCCGGGTGCTGATAATAAACGGTCCATGTTTCCCATTCAGTTTGGGAAATAATATGGTGAAACAAAAAAAAAAAAAGGTAGGAAGATGCAAAAACATTGACTAAAATCCTTGCAGTATATGCATCCAGAGAGGGATTTTATTTCCTCAACAAAACTGGAGTTACATGTTAAAGGACTACCATTATAAGGAAACAAAATCTAGTGATATCATTTGACTGTCTAGGTGTAAAGTATATCAAGTATGTCCGGAAGTAGTGATGCGCTATAAATGCTAGAAACTCATTCAGTAATATTAGAGACTCACCTTCGGTGACACAGCTGCAGAAGCAGCACTGGAACCTCCTCCCACCCTCAATGAACTGCATGTAAGGGCACATATAGGCTTTACATCTATTACATCGAATAGGTCCAGTCTCGCCATGATCAACCACACAAGGGGGAGCCTACAAGGTGTAAAGGGAGAATCAATGACATTTTTAGACAAGTAGTCAAAAGTAAAAAGCAGAGCTATAAACCAAGTTCATTTTTTCCCCTTCCACAACAGTGACAGAAATAACTTGTGAGGTGCTGAATAGAGTGTAATGTTCCCCGTGGCTGAGCACCAGAGTGTGTACTGATATTACTCTGGTGTCCACAGCAACATCCACACAACACATTATACTCTGTCCCAAGCACTCACTCGTACAGCCGTATATCACACATCCAACCATACAGCAAGTAGAAATTCTCCTAAACAATTTCAAGCTGTTACATGGTTTGCTATTTTAATCATTTTAAGGTTTTAACAAGAAAGAGACTGAAATACTCAAATAGTATCGGAGGTACAATACAATATGTGAGGTACAGCAGTAGGTATGACAGTGATGAGAGGGATGACAGTAAATATAGGCAGTAGAGCTGGTAGATAACACCCCTGGGTTGCACTTGATGTGTTACCATATGCAGTAAAGGGGCCCCGATGAAAACAATGAAATGTTGAGGATAGTGGAATGCCACTTCTGAAGATGTAATGCCATGTGGGTGAAGGAATGCCCACATAGCAGGGCCTCTGTATGAACAGTTGGGTCGAGGACCCAGAATTGGGAAAACTCCTACCGGAACGATAGAGAATTAAATTGTGATGGGGGAGAGAGAAAGTGGGAAGTGTGGAGAGGTATGGATGGGTTGCCACAAGGGTGATATTTTAATTACCTTCTTATATGGCCACCAAGGTAAGAAGTAAGCTCTTTAATCAGGACAACACAAATGACAATATAAAGGTTAGAATACTTCACTGCTGTCTTTGTTCTCTTCACTTAGTGTATGGTTCTCAGGACAGGAAGTGAGGAGAATGTTTCCTAACATGGACATGTACAGCAATTTAACAAATAGAGGTTGTAACCCCCTTTGCAGTCCATCCAAACTAGAAAGAAATCAGTTTGGCTTTAGCGATGGAAAGATCTATAAATGCTCACTCACCTCATCAGACGGTAGGGTTGCCAGAGGCTTAATAACAGCAGTAAGTGGGACCTGGGACTGCTTTGCCATGTCTGCGCTGGCAGGAAAGTTGTATGATGAACATCTGATATACCGTGGACTTGCATTTCCTATATTGTAAAAGTAAAGAAATCTGCATTTTAGCTCACAAAAAGGAGGTTTTTCTTTTATCCTCCAAGAACAGATCTTGGAGAAGACAACACACAAAATATGTAAACAAAACGGTAAGAATTTTGTTTTCAAATGTAGTTTGACAGAACAGTCCTTCTTGCATTGAAGTAAATTTGTTACAAACTCAGGCAAAACAAAATGATCAAAAATAAACTGCCTGCCAAAATGATCAGTAGATTTAAAGACACATGAAATATGCAAATTTGAATTTTTCCTGGCTAGTTTGGCCCTTGTACCTCTCATCTGGTCAATACAGCAGCTCATCATGAGGAAGGAACAATAAGGAGATAAAGAAAAACTAGGCACAACTTAACAGGAAAATGCAAATTTAAAATAAAAACACTTAGGCTACCTAGCTCTTTGGATTTACTGATCATTTTGTCATGCCGTTTTCCCTGTAGATAACCTCTATTTTTTTTATCATATACATTTTTCATTGCCCAGGTATGGGAATGCTTTACTTTAGAGCAGACATCTCCTGAATTTTCACCCCACATTCTACCTCTTGTAGCCACTGAACTATAAATATATGAATAAAAATGAATGAATAAATAAATAAATAAAAAGGCCATTAAAAGTTAATGCAGCTCTTGCTTTCCAAAGCTACCAGTCAAGATCAAATGCTGATCATTTTATTAGGCTACCTTAATATTGCCCGTCTTTTTAGTAATACCCTAAAAGAGCAACAAGTAAAATGACTTTGAACATTCAGAACTATGTCACACCTAGGTGTTGTGGTGATGTGTGAATTACAGCAATAAGGTTTACTGCACGTTAGTGATATGCGCTGCCATTAATCTTAAAATACACTTCAAAGGACCTGCATTACAGCACACCACGACACACAGTATCCCAATACTGTGCACAGTAGTGCAGGGAATTGGGGGAAAAGGCTAAAAGGTGCTTTTTGGGCTTCTAGTGTGTTGCCAGCCTATTCAAATGAACTTAATGCAATGGTATGCTGTGTAAACCCACTTATAGGCAGGTACATCCAAAACGCAAGAGAAAGTGATCTGGGAAGCAGAAAGATTGTTTAAACTTCTCAGATACATTTTCATGACTTTAAATACCCAGAACACAAGGGGTGCTAGTGTAAATGTAGCCTTAGGGTTTGCAGCAGTGATATAACCAGCCATGCACACACTAAGCACAATATCAGAGCGGAGGAAGGAGTTAACCATATCTAGTAGATAATTTGCAAGCACCTAAGCACTGTACCTTGATCTTTGACGAAGAAGTTAGTTGTTACAAGTGGTGGAACTTGTCCTCTCAGGCCAGTGACAAAAGGTTCTGAACCCCTGTTGCTCCTATCATCTTCTATTACTTGGATCTATGATAAAGAAGGGATAGATAATGAATCATGCATCACACTAAGAAGCTGCACAACTTTTAACAATAATGCAGAATATTAGGCCTTAGGTGTTCCAACACTGTTCTGTGTACAGCCACATGCACAATATGAATATTTAACATATACAGGTAAGTGTCTACAAAACAGGAAGAAAAATGGAGAGGTTTATGAAAACTGCCAAAATAAAAATGAGCCAACAGTTTAATATCGATAACTTGCATAAAAAAAGAACCTGCAACTAAATTGTAGTCTGACTCTTCAATTCTATTAAAGGCATAATAACTTCAATGGAACAAGAAGCAGACTTCTTTTGCATTTATTGTTTTTTGTTCAATCTGCATCCCTAACCAGATAAGCTAAACAGATAGATTTCTAATTGACTTATCTGGGAAGTCTTACATGCACAGCAGACATACACAGAAGCCAGAAATGTGGCTCCTTTGTGTAACAGAGGAGGGTGGAGAGTAAAGCATGGTTTTAATGGGTTGCCTGATACTCCATGCTCAAATGTGTGCGTCTTTTGGGGTTTAGGATGGCATTGAGAGTTTATCGTTTAGAAAACAAGTATCACAACATACTTACAACACAAAAATGGTCTATTTACACATAGTTACATAGTTAGTCACGTACACAACATACAAACGGAGGATATTTATCAATTTTGTTCCAAAGCTAAAAAGCAACAGTGAAGATGATCATGAAATAGATTAACTACAATGTCACAGCTTCAGACATACATTCCTCCTTCAGCTCGTTTAAAGTAATACTGATCCGGACCAAGTCTTAATTATCAGTCTGTTTTAAGTAAAAATCTGTCTTCTCTTCATTAATAAATCAGTCACCGACCTTGCAAATCTGTTGCAGTTGGCTGCCCAGGAATTCAGATTCACAGGTTGCAAATATACTGTACACCTATTGCAGAGGCTTTGCTAAGTGAGGGGCAGCATGATCTGCATCTGTCTCACTTATTTGCTTGAACATTCCCCCAGAAGGTTTATTCAAGACAGTACAATAACCCACTGCGGCCATTCTGAATGCACTAGTCACACCGGTGTAGTGGTTAGCACTTCTGCCTTGCAGCACTGAGGGTCCCCAGTTTAAATCCCGGTCAGGACACCATCTGCAAGGAGATTGCATGGTCTCCCTGTACTTGTGTGGGTTTCCTCCCCCACTCCAAAAAGGCATGCTGGGACCCCCCTTTTAACCAAAAATCACAGCAGCATACAGCTCTGCATTTGGATTTAAAATCATTTTACATTCATTAAACAAACTTGTTTTTCATTTATTACAAATACAGCTTATCTACTTCCTGGTCCAGTTCTAGCAAAATGATGCAAGTGCCAAAGCATTGCATTTTGGGAAGGTTACAGCAGCAGACCATTGCTGGGAAATCTCAGGGAAAGGCATTTTCGTCCCCTGAGATGATGTGCATGGTTACATGTCCTAGTCACATGTGCCAGAGTTCCAGGAAGTAAAGAGATCTAGTAACCTGCCCTTAGTTAACATGGCAGCTGTCAGAAGACTGGGAAAGAAAAGAGAAATAAGGTACGCAAAGAATAAATAGGCAGAAATTATCTAGAAGTATCTGTTTATAGATTGTCATTACTAAACATTTTTAAAGATATGGGTGACGGTCCGCTTTAACTGACCTCTATCTAACCTGGCCTTGGTATGTGTGTGTATAAATGCATGGAAGATAGGGATCTTAGATTGTAAGTTCCTTGAGGACAGCGACTGATGTGAATGTGCAGTATTTAAGTGCAGTGTAAAATGTCTGCACTAGACACACACACACACCACTTTTTTATTTTTATGTTGCAGCCTGATACTACAGTTGTTTACATTCCCTTTTTCTCATTTATCTCCACTCAATACCCCATAATGACAAAGTGAAAACAGAATTTTAGAAATGTCGGTGAATTTATTAAAAAGAAAAAACTGAAATATCACAAGTACTTAAGTATTCAGACCCTTTACTCAGTACTGTGTTGAAGCACCTTTGGCAGCAATTACAGCCTGGAGTCTTTTTAGGTATGATGTGACAAGCTTTGCACACCTGGATTGGGGGATTTTCTGCCATTCTTCTGCAAGCTCAGTCAGGTTGGATGGGGACCGTCTGGCAGCCATTTTCAGGTCTCTCCACAGATGTTCAATAGGGTTCAAGTCAGGACTCTGGCTAGGCCACTCAAGGGCATTCGCAGAGCTGTCCCCAAGCCACTCCTGTGTTGTCTTGGATCGTTGCCATGTTGGAAGGGGAAACATCGGCCCAGTGAGCTGTACAACAGATTTTCATTGAGGATATCTCTGTACTTTGCTACATTCAGCTTTCCCTCAACCCTGACCAGTCTCCCAGTCCCTGCTGCTGAAAAACACCCCCACAGCATGATGCTGCCACCACCATGCTTCACTGTTGGAATGGTATTGGGCAGGTGGTGAGCAGTGCCTGGTTTCCTGCAGACATAACATTTAGAATTGAAGCCAAACAGTTCAATCTTGGTTGCATCAGACCAGAGAATGTTGTTCCTCACAGTGGGCTTTCATGTGTATTGCACTGAGGAGAGGCTTCCGTCTAGCCACTCTGCCATAAAGGCCAGATCGGGGAGAGCTGCAGTGATGGTTGTCCTTCTGGAACTTTGTCCCATCTCCACACAGGATCTCTGGCACTCAGTCAGAGTGACCATCGGGTTCTTGGACACCTCTCTTACTAAGACCCTTCTCCCCTGATTGCTCGGTTTGGCCGGGCGACCAGATCTTGGAAGAGTCCTGGTTGTGCCAAACTTCTTCCATGTGAGAATTATGGAGGCCACTGTGCTCTTGGGAACCTTCAGTGCAGCAGAGATTTTTTTGTAGCCTTCCCCAGATCTGTGCCTTGCAATAATCCTGTCTCTGAGCTCTGCAGGCTGTTCCTTTGACCTCATGGCTTTTGCTCTGATACAGTATGCATTGTCAGCTGTGAGGCCTTCTATAGAGAGGGGTGTACCTTTCCAAATCATGTCCAATCAATTTAATTTACCACATGTGACTCCAATCAAGGTGTAGAAACATCTCAGCAATGATCAAGAGAAAGAGGAGGCACTTGAGCTAAATTTCAAGTGTTGTTGCAAAGGGTCTGAATACTTATGCCAATGGGATATTTAAGTTTTTTGCAAACATTTCTAAAATGCTGTTTTCACTTTGTCATTATGGGGTACTGAGTGTAGATTATGAGAGGAGAAATAAAAAGAATGTAAACAACTGTAGTATCAGGCTGCAAAATAACATAATTGAAAAAAGTGAAGGGGGACTGAATACTTTGACTGCACTGTATATATACCTGCAATAGGTCAATAAATATTCAGTGTTTCTATAAACAAATTGGTTTGTATGTGTATTTGTACAAAATATAGTCGTGGTTCATATATACGGCTGGGGAAGTTCTGACACCTTTAAGGGGTACACAAATAACTTTGTACCAGGTTATAGATAGCTGATGGCTGTGCAGGCGCAATAGTTAGAGAATTCTGCGATTCCATGGGCATGCGCACTAGCTCCATCTTGTGTACATCTTCCGCTGGCAGTCACTGGACGTCGCCAGTCAGAGAGCTCGACACATTGGACCTATCGAGAGAACACCGGCTGTCAGAATATAAGAGCCAAGCTTAGGAGATTCCTCTATCTATGATGTTTAGCGCAGGCTCAATTAAAGAAATCTTATTGTATGACCGGCTTAAGGTCCCTTACACGTCAACAGTTCAGGAAAAAATAATTTGCAAGTCCTTAGCTGTAGATTTGTTTGGATTCAGTGACTCAAAGAGCTGGAGCCAGTGGGTTGGTTTGACAGTCAGACAACTAGCATTTTCCAGAACATCAATGACTATATATCTCTGAAGTAGAGGATTTGTACACAACAAAGAGGAATCCACATGCAACAGTTTATATGTGGAGCACAGAGTGTTCCATTGCCATCAATAACAGAGTAGCAATTGTGTAAATGGGGATGAATAAGGTCACATATCACTGATGGGATGGACTACAGAACTGGGTAGGTTCAAATGTCACTAGATTCTCCTCAATGGTTATTTCGAGCAGCACAAGAATATTGCTTAGGAATGTCACTGCTATGTATTTAAAAGACTATTCTATATTTGTCTGAACATCTTAGGAGTCACGAATGTGTACAGACATAAAGCTACCTAATAAAGTTTGTTTAAAAACTGAGACAAAAAACGCAGTCCGTGACACTCATGATGCTTTCACTACCATCTTGCATATCTATATTCTACCGCATCACCCAATTCCTATTCCAGTCACTCTGTCAGGAGACAGTAAAACACCATCCGGAAATATAAGCTCCAAGTAACTGAGACTTTTACAGAATGTCTTCATCAAGGTATGCAGGGAAACAAATAATAAATACAAACCCTAGATCAGCCTTTCATAAACCTTTTAACTCCAGAGGAACCCTTGAAATATTTTTGGGATCTCAGGGAACCACTGCTAAAAATATCAATATCCAGTTTGTGGTACATAAAAGGTGCCCATACACCTTTCGATTATCGGATGAAACTTTTCGTCCGATGATCGAACCGTCGTACGATTTTCGTACGACGGCCCCATCCTGCCCCGATTATCGCAAGGTTCAATCAGCGGTAGTTAGAAAAAAAAACACCTGGACGACTTGCGGTAATTGACCGCAATTATTTTCGTTTGCGCATGCGCAGTGTTAATCGTACGACTTTTGACGGACGGAAACGCCACCAACCATGCGAACATCGTACGATCAACCAAAGTTTTCAAACATGCTTGACCGTCAAAAGTCGTACGATTGTACAGTACTATCGGTCGGGCACTCTATTCACACGTTACGATTGTCGTACGAAAAGTCGATCGCATACGATTATCGTACGATAATCGTAAGGTGTATGGGCACCTTTAGCCTGATCACAAAATTGTAAGACGACACTTTAAATACAAGAATATGGCATACCTAGATTATTCGACACCCTGGGCAAATTCATTCTAAACTCTCCTGGAGGGCGAGAGCTGACCAAGGATGTGGTGAGCAATGCAACGTCTTGTGCCCCCAAGGCAAAAAGAGCACTTAAAAAGGAGAACTATGAGGGGAGTGCTTTTCACTCACCTCATAGTTCTAGCCGACCTGTGACAATGAGACTGTCACAGGTTGGCTCAGTAGATCGGGAGGTGAGCGAACACATACCGGCGTTCGCTCACCTCTCGATCCTGTCACGGCTCTCTGCCGTGACAGGGGAGGGGCTGGATTCCCCGCTCCGATCCGCCAGCGCTGACTGGCGGAACGGACGGGGGAGGGTACAGCTGGCTCTGCCTCTAGATAGGCAGAGCCAGCTGTCACTCACGCAGCTGGGCGGATCCCGGCACAATTGTCGGGATCCGCTTCAGCTGCGGCGTCTCAGTATACCGCGAGCAGGAGCTTGCGGTATACTGCGAGCTACAGCTCGCGGTATACTGTGCTTAGGGTGACGGGAGGACGCTAGTTTGTGTCCTCCCGTTACCCTAAGGAGAACAGCCTTAACCCCATAGTTCTCCTTTAAGCTACTAAAACATTTTAAGGGCACATTTAGATCTATACATGTGCATAGAGGGTGTTTTTTGTAGCTTAAGGCAGGTGCATTGACATGCATTATTGATGTGTGTTCCCAATACATTTTTAAATTTAGGATTTGGAGTGGATACAGTTAAAAGCCATTAACCAAAGCTTGTTAATCCCTGTTGCCCATCTATCAAAAACACGGGCTATATGCATTATGATGCATTGGCATTCACTTGTATAGGTCTCCCAATGCACTAAAACACAGAACAAAAACGGACATGCCGTATTTACCAAAACATGTGTTGCACCGCAGTGCAGAGATGGGAACAGGTTAGGGCTACAGCCAACTAATCGATTATGAGAATAGTTGTACTATTCAACTATTCTAATTATCGATTAGTTGATTGGATCCCCCAACTCTCTCCTCCACGCTTGGAGGAGGGAACAGCAGTGGGCGGGTACAATAGCCAGCCTGCTGTTGGCTATTGCAATTTGAAAATGGCCAATAGCAGGTTGGCTACTGCACCAGTCCACTACCTGCTGTATTTACATTCAGCTGCCGTCTGCCGAATCTTGCCACTGGCAGCCGTCATTCCCTGGCTGAAGCTATTCAAGCGCCATGTGCTTACAATACAATTGGAAAAATATATAAAAAAGGAGGGGGGAAAAAAAGTCAGTCATTTTTAGTTTCGGCCTGACAAATTCTACTGCAGGAGGTGCGTTACAGTGCCATTCATTTCAATGGCACCCCGAACGCACCTCCCACCCAGAGTGCGATTGCAGGCACTGGAATGCGCGATACCGTAATGCCATGGGTTCCAGTGCAGTGCAATTGCAGAAAATTGCGCATGCAGTTTTATTCCGACGTAAACTTTATGTTTGCAACACTGCATTTGTGTATTTTATTTTAAATTAAGGATGGTATTTATTTAAATCGAAAAAATAAAATCGTCCAACTAACCGATTATGAAAATCATTAGTCGCTGCCCTAGAACAGGTACTATTTTTTTTAAAATTATGAACCTGGACAAGTGTTTTAGCGATTTGTAACCAGTATGATAAAAGCCAACAGTGTCATTGGGCCCTTAAAGTGACACTAAACTCAGGAGTTAAATGTTAAAAATGCATTCAAGTACCTTTACTATTAACAAAAATGTATCTTCTTTGTGTATCACTCTGCTGTAGATCCTCAAATAATTTCTGAATTGGTGCCGACACTGTCCTACCTTCTGGAGGGTGGCTACCTTTGTTCCCCATGGTCCCCGTGTGTGTTGTAATGTAGCCACCACTCCAAGCTCACTCCTGGGATGGATTACAAGCTCATGTTTAATTTATGAATTGGTATTGAGATTGTAGTCCATCACATGGGTGATCTTCGAGTGGTGGCTACTTTACAACACACACAGGGACCATGGGAAAAAAAGTAGCCACCCTCCAGAAGAAAGGACACGGTCAGCATGAATTCAGAGATGATTTGAGGATCTACAGCCGAGTGATACACAAAGAAGATACATTTTTGTTAATACATAAAGGCACTTGAATGCATTTTGAAGATTTAACTCCGGAGTTTAGTGTCCCTTTAATGACATTTCCCAGGCCAGATTACCAGGCTACTATATTATAATACTCCACTGAAATCAGTGGGGACATGCTTACCTGCGCTCGACGTGGTTTTTAAACATATGCCAAACGCAGAAAAATGACACCTGTGTAAATAAGCCCCTAAATCTAAGGACCAGCTACAGGTGACTAAACCAACATCAATAGAAAAAATACCTTTAATAGGTGCCACAAGCTTTTTTTTCTGTATTGGCTGCCTTGTTTTATCATAACACACTGTTATAACCATTGGCTGGCAGAACAGACAGGGAGTGGGGGGAAAAAAAAAAAGAGAAATAAAAGCACATCCTGCCCACCACTTGTGGTACACAGACATGGAAAACATGTTTCAGTGAATTTACTACTAGCTAGGTAACCACACTAAGGGAAAAAAAGAATGAGTGTCATTAGGATGATGGTAGGCTACATGCACTGGTGAAGTGATTAGCATGCGCAGGGTACAATCACACACAGAACAAGGAAAGGAAAGGACACACTATTCACTTACTGGACTAGGAATTGCATCGGGGTCTATCCTGTGCCTTGATTTCTGCTGGGGTGGCAGTTCATTAAGTTGCTTTATTGTTTAAAAAGTCGAACAAGAAGCGATGCCACAAAACAGCAAAGAGAGAATGTTTAAGGATAACAAAAACAGAAAAAAAAGAAGGGTACAGTGTTATAATTCCCTACCCTCTATTACAACAAGAGGAAGATTGCAGAAGCATAACATGCGTTTAATAGCCTCACAACAGGAATAGTAATGGACTTTGGGAAAGAATTACAGTGCATTTTAAAAAGGATGCTAGAACACAGGAGGGAGAAATGAGTAAAAGAGACTTGAGCAATGCATTTGGTTCACGCATTGAATCAAATACACTGCAATGGAGTTCCATCTATTCAGACTGATCAACCACTGAACACTAAACATTGTACTGTAACTGGAAACTAAAGATATTTCACTTATTTGCATGAACTATCCTTTAAGCAAGGAAGAATAACTTTGTTAGCTACCTCAAAAGAAAAAAAGACATTCTGTATTTACGTGTAATGAAATACACAGCAGTTACAGGTTACATCAAAAAACCTTACACATAGCACAGTGCTAACATGCAAATACAAAGTAACAACAAACATTTAAACTTTAAAGCAGAACTAAAGTATATTTTTTAATACAAACACTCTGAAATCACCAGTTTCAAATTCTGCATGCATGCAATTCTGAAATTCTGTGTTACCTTTTGCTATCTTATCTGGTCTGTCTTCAGCATTAGTACAAGTTGATGAGGAGGCGCTACTATCTGAAGGAAATGATATAATCACTCCCTCACAGGAAGTTCCCTGTACTAACTAATTATTATTATTACTACCAGGAACTGGGCATTAAAAAAAAGAGAATTTCCATCCCCACCCAATCCTCCCTCTTTTTTCCCTCTGTTAAGCCATTTGTTGCAACAAATAAGACGGGGGAACACAGGGCAGGACTGGGGGAGGCCACACTGTTCTGGGCATTGATGGTCTCTGCCCCTTATCTAAATATAGGAGCATACTGACATTCTAAGAGGTAGGTGTAGAAAATCTGTGACTTCTGGTCTGTGAAGCTTGCAAAGCTGAAACCAAGAGGTCAGAGAATCCCAGGTCCTGCACAGCAGTTGCGAGACCTTCTGGATAAATCACAAGACTCTTAGTTTTGCATGTGTGCATACATACACTATTTTTAACTTGCAATTTGAGCGCTTATATTAAAAAGTGTTCTACTTTAATATAATTCAAATACCTTTAAGAATACAACGTACGCCATGTTACCTTACAATAACTTTTAACATGACTGCAATAACTCATCAATGCATACAGTTGTATTTGTGATTGATTAGATCATACAAATCTCATGTCTGGCCTTTTGCTGTGCGATTTTTTTTTTATCTCACCAATGCTAAGGAACACTTACAGGACTAGGGATGGAATCTGGGTCCAGCCTCTTCTGTGCAGCAGGAGGACCTGGAGGACCCTGAGGACCAGGATGGCTTCCATAATTTGGAGCTTGAGGATAAGCTGCGGGATATCCAGGCTGCGGAGCCCTAACTTGTCCAAAGGAACCTGTGAAAGTGGCACACTTTTTAGGTTTAAGCTAAAACAGCATTCAAGATTATACCACAACTGCATAATGTAAACCTGAAGTGCTAAATCCTTACCCAATTCATCATACATCAATTTATCATATTAAGCATACATCTAAGTGGAAATGTTGTCTGCCAAGATATACTCCTTTGGTCTATGTGGCCTTCTACAAATGCATTGATCAGAAAAGGAGAGTTAATATATTGTAAATTGATCACTAGATTGTGCTATTTTCCTAATAGTGTAACCTTTGAGTTGGGATACAAAATAGGGTACAAGAAGTGCTTGGAGCTCCTAGACATTTTTGATATCTTAGTACAGTAACAGAATGACAGCTTAAGTTCCTGGAAACATTACCCTGCCACTGGTGCCAAAAAACTGAGCATCAATGTAAAAATAGCTATACAAGGATGATAAGATAAGATTCACATTTTATAAGAACGAAACTGAGGTTTTTGATGTTTTGTTTGAAACTATTGTGGTGGATGGTTTCATTTACAAATAAATAAGTAAAAATGTAAAATCTAAATCTAAAACCTGCTATAAACAATAATGGTATGATAATTTTACAAACTTGTCAAGATACATTAAAGCACAATTCCTGGGCAATCTTAATTCTTAATTTATTAGACCCACAGGAAACATTTGTATCTTTAAAAGATAGCTGTATTTCCCGCCCTGAGCTTTGATAGTGATCAATACAGGAAATTGCAAACACTACATTATTTATTAAAAGGCTGTCAGCATCTGCATTGTATGGGCAAGGAGAGAAACAAAGAAGGTATTTGCTTGACAAAATTCTTTACTTCAGTGTCTTCACTGTCAGATTCCATCCCACGTTACATGCGATTCTAAAGAGACGAATTTGGAAAGCAGAATGCATACGTAGGGATCCCTGATGCCTGTCTGACTGTAAATGTGTAGTTAAGCTCACACAGGGGCTGTCTGCTTCTAACAGTTTGTGTTCTTCAATGAGTACACAAGAAAACTATTCTTGTACAAAAAAAAAAAAACCCACAACATTTGAGGGTTTTCTTTGATACTTGCTGTACTACCCCTCGAGTCACCGACCTGAAACATGAATTACGCACAGGAGTTCAAAATGTATGCTTGCCGGAAGGTTCAAGGTTAGATTCACTTGTGAGTAAATCTAGGATCAGGATGACAGCCTCAGGACCTGCATCTTTAATGACCAAGTCAGCGCCCACATATTTTTTCCTCCGGTACCTTTACATAAGCTAGATTGAAAACTAAAGTTCCCCTCGGGTCCAGTTCACAAAAATTGCGGGGCGTTCCAGAGCGGTAGCTGCCTGGAAAACACTATAATCGCACAGTAAACTCCCCCATTGACTTCAATGCCCCGCCACGCCCACTCCCGCTTAGTTCAATATGCGACTACAGTGCGTTCCAGCAGCTACCATTCTGGAACGCAGCGCAATTGGTGCAAAATACCCTTAGCTTTATGTTCCTATAGATATGGTAAACACGTCACCCTGTCTCCCCCTAGGTGTTGAGGATCTACGGTAGCAGGTCATTAAGGAAGAACACGTTGCAAAGGCCTTTAAAAGTTGAATTCTCAAGCAGAGCATATAGAAATATGGAGCAAGGTTTCCATAAGTACTCTACAAAAGCGGGGGAAAAAGGAGTAACACAAAAAATTATATATGATATCATTGTAAATTATTATGGATCGAGCTCCTGGGTTTCAAAAAAAAATCGTATACAAATAGCGCAAACCCCGTCACTGAAATCCCATAAACGGAGCTCTCCAATGAACAAGTATACAAATGTAATATAAAGTGTGTCCAAAAGTTATTTTAATTAAATGTATATCACCTCATACAAAACATTTAAAACCACATATAGCTTCCCTAGGATGACCCAATGTAGGACAGAGTGATCAGGAGTAACGTTAGGGTTAAAGTGCCCGCACGATAATGCAGCAGTTACTGATTAAACGGATACACCGTTGTGAAGCGATGGATACAATTGTATCGACATGTGCTGGAATTACTCACTCATTCAGTTGTGGCCACAAGAAAGAAAGTCCCCACTTCCATAAAGGATGTCTTGATGGTGTTTTCAATAAAATTATTTGTAATCCCGGTGGTTATTTCTTTCAAAGGTTAATCCAAACCGGCGTCACCATGCACTTATGTGAAGGACAGCCCGACAATTCCCCCTGTGAGTGCGGCCGCACATTAAGACAGGGATGGACAGAGTTCCACGGGCGGAATCTCCAATAAAGTGTTTGATCCAAAGCCCGACTGCTGTTGGAAAGATGTTCCCGAGTGAAAACTCCACTCAATCCAGATTTTGTATTGATGATCACATCTGAGTGAAAACTCTGGATTGAGTGGAGTTTTCACACGGGAACATCTTTCCAACAGCAGTCGGGCTTTGGATCAAACACTTAACCTTTGAAAGAAATAACAACCAGGATTACAAATAATTTTATTGAAAACACCATCAAGACATCCTTTATGGAAGTGGGGACTTTCTTTCTTGTGGCCACAACTGAATGAGTGAGTAATTCCAGCACATGTCGATACAATTGTATCAATCGCTTCACAACGCTGTATCCGTTTAAATCAGTAACTGCTGCTTTATCCTGAGGGCACTTTAACCCTAACTTTACTCCTGATCACTCTGTCCTACATTGGGTCATCCTAGGGAAGCTATATGTGGTTTTAAAAGTTTTAAATGTTTTGTATGAGATATATGTTTCATTAAAATAACTTTTGGACACACTTTAGATTACATTTGTATACTTGTTCATTGGAGAGCTCCGTTTATGGGATTTCAGTGACGGGGGGTTTGCGCTATTTGTATACGTTTCCATAAGTACACAATATCTTGAACTGTGATATTAAAGAATAGAAACTGTGTACATTTTGTTTTACATACAAGCTTTTAGGTCAGACGAGTACAACATGAACCAAAATGGATCAGTGCCAATCTCAATTTAATGGTCACTGTGGCAACACGGTGTAGACATTCATCTCTGCTTCAATCCCAGTGAGCTTTGGCAAAGACTTGGAGGGCCAAAATACCTCCAAATTACCAAATAAGCTCAAAGACCACCTTTTTCATGACATGCTGTACAGACAACTGATACTGGAAAAGATGGATAATAGTGTGTGTGTGTAAATGTTTGGGTGGCTTGCCAGAGCTGCATTTTTACCAGTCTGACCATTTAAACTGTCAACTTTAGCAGTCCAAAAATACCCAGGCCCAATGTGTTTTCCATTCCAACCACTAAAGGACAGAAACACTGGGACAATCAGTCAAGCACAAAGACCCTCACCCCGAAAACTGATACAACAGCCTTATTCTGCCACATGCAATATACAAGTAGTACTCACCATTTTGCTGAAGAGGAAATCCTCCCGGGCCTGTAGGCATTGCAGGTGGTGGCCCCTGAGGACCGGTCATTGGAGGACCTGGTAGAACCCCAGGAACAGCAGGCTGGGACTGATTAGGAGATATATGATTTGGCTGAGCTAAATGAGGTCCAGTCAGAGGCTGTCCTGGCATTGGAGGGCCGTGCAATGTGGTTGGTGGGGGAGCTCCAGAAACAGAGGAAGGATAATTTAAAGGGGGAGCATTTTGTTGAGGAGGAAAACCATGTGCAGAAGGATGGCGTGGTTGAGGTGGTGGTCCTGTAAATTGTTGTGAAGTGGGTGGCTGAACTTGTGGTAAACTGGTAGGAGGCATTCCTTGTGTCAAATTCATAGCAGAGGGGACTTGATTGTTGGAATAAGGGTTATAGGCTCCTGATCCGGAGTGTGGTGGAAGAGGACTTTGCGTGCCTGTGGGGATCCAACAGATCACCAACTGGTTAATGGCATAACTTAGGACACACAAAACACAGTTTTAAGCATTATTTTAAAGCAATGTAAGTGAAATGTTTTCTGTTGCAATCTTCTTTAAAGAAGAACTCCAGGAAATGTAAAAATTACCCGCACTGCAAGGGTTAACTGCTCGTTTTGGTCTAAGGCCTTACCTGATCCAGGATCTTGTGGTAGCGAGTGCTGACCGCTATCCCCCTCCACTCTGGCGATGGAAGGTCCCTCGGTGTCTTTATGTCTAATGCAGCCTTAGACCACCGCAGCCCAGGGGAGAAGAGGCTGCAGGAACCTGTCCATCAGCCAAGCATCAGGCGAGTATATTTTCTTTCTTGTGGGGTAGTCCCACTGCAAGTGTTAATTGTTACATTTCCTGGAGTTCTTCATTAACGGTTTACATATGCAATATATACTAAAATATCCACATTTTACTAGAAAAACCAGCACCCTAATATTTTGTGTTTAATATACATTGTTATATATTGTATGTATCTATCAGTCCTGTATAATGTCAGTCTCCAGCAAGAAAGAGGATATAAACTTTTCCTTGTGTCAGGTTTACCCAACATCTATGCTTTGAGTCACTAACCAAAAATAGGCATGCAAATCTGTAAAGTCAGAACTCCACATGCTTATTCCAGATCAGGAGAATTGATGTACTGAAGCAAAAGCAATTTCAAGAGGAGAAGTGAGGAATGGCAGCTGCCAAACTTTCATTATGATGGATCCTGACAAAACAAAACCTGATACGCCTACTTGTCCTGGGTTGGTGATGGAAACAGAGGTCAGAGGATTAACTAAACTTATGAAAGGCATGTACGGTAAATAACACAAAATACATACTTATAAAAGAAGGCATTATATAGTTTTCCTTTAATACATTCTGTGGAGTGCCACTGCACAATTCCTTTAAGTATACATTGTGAACTCATATTAGGTGTCTTACCAAATTGTAGTGTTGTTTGTGGTGGACCAGATGTTGTTACCCCAGTAATATGCATTCCCATCATTTGGTTGTTTAGTTGCTGTGTACTAGTGGAAGTTGGAGGGTATTGCTGAACATTAGCTGACTGTGGAGGAGCTCCTGCTTGTTGCATGTATGGTTGAGCCATAGGTGGTCTGCAAATCACAAAGAACACAGTTGTTTGGTCAATATCCTCAAATATGCCCCTGACATACAGGATCATGCAGCTTTGATTTAGCTTGGAAGTACCAGAGCAGTGTAAACGCCTTCAACATTGTCCTATTCAAGAAGAGCCAATGGTACTGCTCAGTGTATCCTTGAGTTGTCTGTGGGGAACCTGTGACAACTAACCCATCTGAACACACAGACTGACGGTTCCAGTTTTTTCTGTGTGTTTAGGAAGCAACACAAACATTTACAATTAAAGTGCTGTAAAACCTAACAATGAACTTATCTTAGGGCCTGTGTCAACAGACTTTGAGCTTGTGTTGATGGCATCAGTTTCAAATGCTTCTGAGGTAATGAAGAATTTATTGACAAGTGCATCTGACAGCCTTCTGACCTGCAGTAGACGTGCTTTAAGTGTTTTTTTTGCATTCCTACAGACTTGTATGGATATGCAAAATCTGCTTAAAGCGAACATAAACCACCCAGGCCCTTATTTGGATACAGGCCCACCTTTGCTTCCTCTGGTCTATTAAACATACTATTGACATGCGGTTATATATGCTTCAAAAGTGCAAAAGCTTGTTGATTCTGCCAGAAGTCCAGTGAGCTTGTAACTTCTCAGTGCATGCGGTCTCTGGTACACTAAAATCCCAGTTCTACCCAGTTCACCTCTGTGTTCTACAAAACACCCTTTCCTATGTTATGGACATTAGTGTTCTGTAGTCTTACCACTTCCTGTCCTAGGGTAACAACACTGCTCCTCCATAGCTACAGTATGCTGGATAAAAGTGTGTTACTTGCAAGATCCCCAGGTGTAAATAAAGGGGGGGGGTGGTGCAAAGCCTAAAAAAAAAAAAAAAATGCAGCCCCCACATTTAAGGGCTGGTAACCTGAAATATATTACAGATTCATTTTTGGGTTAAGATACACTGAAAAACTTCTGGCAAACAAAAAAAAAATACATGCATTCTTGACCGTTTGACCAAGCAAAGGATTTTGAATTTTGTACAGTCTTGTGATTTACAATGCATGGCCAGACGACAGGTAACATATACAGTAATTCATCTTTCTATTTCAGCAATTCAACTCCACCTCCAGTCTACTGATTGGTCAGCAAGCCTCATCAACTCTGTCCAATTCCAGCATAAGCGTGCCCAGAAATAAGATGAGAATCCAAAACTGACCAGCAGAGGACTGTGTATGGCTGTGCAAAATTCAAAATCTTTTGGCAGCTAAAACAAACATATATACTAGTGCTGCACCGTTATCGGTTTTTGGGCATTGAGTACGAGTACTGATATTTATCTTTTGGTACTCGCCGATACCGAGGAGCGATACTCATACTTCTGCTAGCACGAAGCCGGCTTCTTGTGGCAATCAGGAAGCCCAGTGGCGTTTCATTGCCTGCCGCCCAGCTTTTCGATTGGCCGGGAAGTGGACTCCATGCTGATTAGCTAGGAAGCCGGCTTCTCGGCCAATTAGCATTGAGCTGGACGAACATCATGGAGCTGGCTTCCCAGCCAATCAGGACACTGCCTGGCATCCTGATTGGCTGGGAAGCCAACTCCCTCTGTGCCCAATCAAGTTAATTCCCATTCTCATGCAGCCACTGTACCCAATCAAGTTCATTCCCATTCTCATTCGGATGCAGCCACTGTACCCATGCAAGACAGGGTGACACTAGCCGCATCTCTCAGCAGCAGTCTATCCTGTATCCAGTGACAATCATCTATCATAAACAGCAAGTAATCGTACGATTACATGCTGACTTCTGCTGACAGATGCAGCCATCCTGTCATTAACCTGATTGGGTACGGCAGCTGCATCTGAACAGGGACACCTGTAATGCATAGGTTCCTGTGACAGGGATCCCTGAACACGCCATATAAATGCAGCCTTAATCTCTACCGGTCAGGATGGTGCTGTGTATCAATACTAGGAGGGATGCAAATCTACAAAGAAAACTAGATTATAATATAAAAATAAAAAAAATTACTTTAGTCTGTTTCATTCTTTTAATCATCACCCCAAAACAAGTGTCAGATAAAAGAGCTGGTTTCATGAAAAGGAATTATAAAGAAAATGACAGCAAGCGGTTTTTTAGGGAAAAAAAAAAACCAATCAATAAAACACCAATACTGTTATCTAATGCTGTCCTGGAAGGTGACTAGAGAAAAAAAAATTGCATACCTTTGCATCTGGGCTCTTGATGCTGGTCCATTCTGCATGTCACCCTGACTGAAATGACTATACTGCAGCTGTTCCGGAGGGAGTGACGTTCCTGCTGGAGTCTGGGCCCCTGATGTTGGTGGAGCTCTCACGGGACCTAACAAACAGTAAAAAAGACACTAAGTGTAAGCTACAATTAAATGCTCCTTACATTACCCAACAGACTAAAATAATGAGATCCCTCTGGAGCCTACAAAGTAGTACTTGTATATTGCAGTGTTACAGTATCTCCATAAGGAGGACACACAGTGCTTTTAAAAAGGGATGCAAAACAAGCAACCATTACAAGCTCAGACCCACGAAGTAGATACGTGTGCTAGATAAAGGAAAAACATGTCATAAGTGAAACATGGGGGCTGTTGTTTGAAGGCCTCCCCAAAAAAGTTGTATGACTTTTACAGCAGTCCGGTGTCTCTCATGACAGGTCCCCTTTATTAAATACCGAGAAAGCAAACTAGAAATGAGGCACGTTCTACATTCTATGCATTACAACAAAAACAAGCATAACAATTACCTATATAATGAGAGGTAACAGGAGAAGAAGTGCCAGAGGTGAGAGAATCAGGGGACCCCTTTTGAGGGAATCCTGAGTTAGAAGGGAAACCTGCAAATGCAAAGTAAAAGACAGAAACTGCATTTAGGAAAGGAAAACCACGTGCAACAGAGAACAGCTTTAAGAAAAGATACTTTGATTATTTTCTTCATGGCACAAATTCTGAACCAGAACAACAAATGTTTAGAAAACAGAGAGAAACATTTTGGTAACTTCAGTTCTGAAAGTCACATAAAAGAAGCTGGGCACGATGATGGTTGTATTAAATATTAACACATCAACCGCCGCTATCTAAGCCACGCCCCCTCACACAGGAAGCTGGCCAGAATGCGATACAGTGTGCTCCAGAGGCTAACCTCTTTGAAATGCCATGTTTATGGTGTGAAACGGCCCGAGAGCTCTTGATGCGTATTGAGGTAAGGTGCTGTGATGTTTTCTGGAAGCTATGTACAGCACCCCGTCGGCCCCTCCCACTAGCTACGATCTGCCTGCATTGCATAGAGAAGCACAGGGACCCGGTGATGACATCACGGGGCCTAATGTAAGGTAGTTAATGAAAATGGAAATGTTTTATTTATACAATATTTTTTTATTATATATTATTTATAACAAACAGATTTATGTTTTCAAGTTTTACACATCTGAATATTATGATAAATGATTATCATTATTTTTAGAGGTGCACCGAAATTAATTTTTAAACAACGAAATTGAAAATAAAAAAAAAACGTCAGGCTGAAAGAAAACAAACATTTTTTCTAACCTTTTCAAATATTTTATTTGTATTTATTTAATATTTTAATTTTTTTACTTTACTTTTAGGGGCTTTGGGGAAATATTGGGGGTCTAAAGACCCCTGATATTTCCCTTTTAAAATAGAAAAAGAGATTGAGGACACAGAGTCGGCATTTTGCCAAATGTGCCATTTTCGGATGATACGTTTAGTCGGCCAAAATTTTGGCGCATCCCTAATTATTATTAATAGTAATAAACAGAACCAGACAAAGCAAGTTGCTGCAAGATACATAGTAAAAATATGTTATCTAACAGGACACAATTGAAGTAAAGTACCTTGTGAAGGAACATGTTGTGGATAGCCTTGTAGCGGCCCATTATATCCTGGGTACTGCTGACCTCCTGGCATTGGTTGACCCCCATACATTGGTTGTTGAAACCCCCCAGGCTGGGGCTGCATGTAAGGGGTAGCTAAATGAGGTGGCTGGTTTACGTTCATCTTGTGTACATCCCCAGACTGGTCCTGTAACAAACAAAAAGTAGTATAGCGTCAGTCATTACAGTCTGTTGACAAGTAAATGATACATGTAAAGAAATATATACCTAAATCTTATCTGTCTTTTAAAAATGATCACATCTATGAAACATATCCCTAAACCTCAATTCTCAAGCCCGACACATAATATGCATGTCCAAAAAAGAGCTTGGCAACTTCCAGGGACACAGAAAGCACTCACAGGTTAGACCATTAAAGGACTGGAAGAAATGTTCCACTTGAAAACATGGCCTTTCTTCAGATTTCCCTTGACGCTTCAACCACATGAACTGGTATTAATAGCTTTGGTCACCAAATCAACTGAATGATCAGTGACTCAAATAAAGCTGATAATAATGCCCGCTACATTGCCCCACACAGTGCTGGCGGCTATCACTGCCCAACTCCCATAGGTGGTGCTCGATCTAGGACCGGCATGTTAGCACACGTGGCAGCCCCAGCTCTGGACCAGAGAGACTCTGCTGTCCTGACAGGTTCTCTTTAATTTAAGAAAGGACGATCAGTGTATCCCTGTCCATGTCAAGAATACGGACATTTGAGGAATATAATAAATGTGAGTTGTAGTTTTCTCAGACCTAACACTACAATAGAGTTTGGTTACATAATTATCTAAAATACACTGTATTCCCAAAAGTTTGTGGACAGTCCAATTTAAAGAGCTCAGGAGTTTCCAGTGGGTACCATTACTACAAAGACATTTGAGACAATTACATACTTCCAACCTTGTGACAACACTTTGGAGGCCCTTTTCTGTGCCAGTATAACTGTTCCCCTATGAGCAAAGCCATCTCCATGAAGACATGGTCTGATGAGTTTGGTGTAAAGGAACTTAAGAAGCCGGCACAGAGTGCTGACCTTAACTGCATTGAACATCTTTGGAATAAAAAAACAAAACATCAGTAATGTTTATGTTTTTAGACAAGGCTTTCCTCAAATCACATACTCACATGCCGGGCAAATCCAAAGCTGCTATTGCAATCTGCTGCTACACACTGGGTCCCACGCCGCCATATTGGTCCTCCTCAGTTGGCTGCCTCTTCTGGGATCAGGCAGCGGGCCCGTCCTCGCACTGGCCGCTGTGTGGACGCTATGTAAACCTATGCACAACGGATCTTCAGCTTTCAGACGAGTACATATATAATCCCCTTTACAACAAAATACTGCTTTACACATGGCTAAACCTGTCTAGTGGCATACACTACAGCGCAGTTAAGCACAATAAAGATTGCCAGGGTTATTCCCAAAAGGGTGAAGAGTTTAGAGAAGTGATCAATCTAGGACAACATAGCTGAACTGGAAATAATTTTTCCAAATCAGCTACTTTGGCCTAGATCGTTCACTTCTCCTGCCTTTTCCAAACTCTTCACCCTTTTGGGAATAACCCTGTGTGTGTCCCCTACTTGCACAGTGCCTATCAGACCTATGTACCAATTTTAGTAAGCAGGTCAGTAGATTTAGTACTAGAGGTCTCCGTTTTTCGCATTGGGGGCCCTTTTGGCTACTGCAGAAGGAGTTACTTCAGCTTTAGGGATACGTAGGGAGAGCTTTGAAGCGGATGTAAACCACTTACACATTAGGGCACACTTACTTTAAAAGTGTGCCCTTCTACAGTGCTGTCGGATTGATCTTTGTTCATTGGTGCTGTCCCACACCATCTTCACTGCCAACACTTCAGAGTTCTCTGAAGTCCTCCTCGCCCATTGGGTCGTCAATGATGTAACTTCTCCTGCGCACAGGAATTATATCCTCCACTACACCCAGTCCAATCCATGACATCTTAAAGATGCTGAGAATGGGCTGTGTACACTGTACAGCATATGCGCCACACAGTGTACACAAAAAAGTGGGGGGGGGGAAAGGCTAAAAAAAAAAAAGAGAGGAAGAAGATTTTTTTTGCATGTCTCTCCTTCCAAAAATCCCAACCTCCCAGCACTTTCCTTTCCGCTTTAAAAGAAACGTATCATGAGAAAAATAGAGAGGCAACAACTACCGACCAATCTCCGGTTGTCACGTTGACCCTCCGCTTCCAATATAATGGGTCTCTCATCCAGAAGACGCTGATAGGTGGGAAAGTTCTCTCTACTTCCTGGTTTGAATACTTTTTCTAACTCAGTAACATGCAAAGTATTGAAATCAGGTTAACGGCCAGGCAACTGGCTTTTTTAAAAGGTGGTCAGAAAAGGCAGCTCCTATATATTGCTCATTGAAACTTTAAAAGGGTAATTTTAGGACTGAGGAAAGTTTAAGAGGAAACCTATCTTGAGAGAAGTGGGCAGAAATCTCAAACCTCTGTAAATAGCACATCCCTGGCTGTTACGCAGACCCATTAACGCTAATATTTTTGGCTCGCTGACCGGAAACAATTCAGAATAATTTGAGGAAAAAATAAATAAATAAATAAATAAATAAATAAATAAATAAATACACTCCAGGTCAGTGGCTCAGGAAGTACTGAAACCAGAGGGTCTGTATGACAGTGAAGCAACTAGCATTTCCAGGAGAACTCAGCAATGCCAGCTTCATGTTTTTCTCAGTACAGGTTTCCTTTAAAGCGTAGCTAAACCCAAAAACAAAAATGTAATATACTACAGCTTATCAGTACTTGGATGTGGTGCATTTGTTTTCCCTTTATTGTCAACTGGAGATCCTGCCAAAAACGATTAGTGTCCTAGTGTGACAACGTTCCTCACTGTACTGTATCTAAGGAGGAGCAGAGGTGTCAGCCTGAGATGTGCAATATGGGAGAAAGTTGCTAAAGAGAACAAGTCATTAAAATAAAAACAATCCTCCTGTCAGAGCTGAATCCCGATCTCTTCAGACCGGCAAAGCTCTGACACTTTCAGGAGTCAGTTTGTACATTTGAAGAGCCAGCAGAGTTTTTTTTCAGGGGCCAAACGACACCGACAACTAGATGAAAACTCAAAAGTTAGGTACCACTAGTAATGTGTAGGGAGCATTGGCTACCTGACTCCTGGGATTCGTCCAGGCCTGGTGTGATGTCACTGCCAATGTGCACACTACTTTAAACATTTATCATGGTAAAGCTGTAATCATTTTCTAAGTTCGGAATGCTGTACACCGACCACAAAGCGTGCATGACTTTATAAATGGGGCACACACAGTGATATAGCAGCTACATCTTCCCTTATTCTACTTTACAAAGCCGAAATACAAAAAAACTCACACTTCCCTTTTTAATAAATCAATCCAAAATCATCACATAAGGCGGCAAAAAGCTAAACAAAACAGTAACTGACCTTGTATCATGTAAGAAATGATTGGACTCATTGAACGCTGTACAATAGTGGAGCTCTGATGTTTATAAACAATACTATACAGGCAGATAAAACCCAGACCACAAGTCCTGCTGGGCTAAGAAATCGTAAAGAACTACAGGAGAAAACAAAATGAACCCCTCACTGCATTTGGTCTGCTCGATTTGGTCTAGGGGTTGGATTAAAGAAGATATACTTACCTGATCCTTGGTCCCGCCAGGCTGCTAGACCTGTCCCTGCAGCCTGTTTTCTCCTGGGCTCTGAACCGCTGCCATTATTACATCTAATGCAGGTCCACTGAACAGCAATAGACGAGAGGACGCCGAGGGCAGCCAGGAATAAGGGAGGGAAGGGGGTGAGCAATCACCACTGCAGGAAAGAGGATTAGGTGAATTTATGTTCTGTACTCAGGCCAGTAAAAAAGGGTCCTCCTGCACTGCAAGGGTTAAATGCTCATTACATCCAGAGAGGTGATGAAAAAGGCGACATTATTATCTTATTGCTTGCTGCAGCAGGCTCCAGCGCTCTCCTCTTCACCCTGACGCTTTGGCATCCTCATGTACAATGTTTGTGCAAGAGGCAAGCATGTGAGCCTGGCTGGGTGGAGGAAGGTTGCCCAGACAGGGAATAAGGCAAGTACTTCTTATACTTCTTATCCCTCTAAAAGGTGCCCATACACTGCACGATTCTCGTACGAGAATCGCAGGAAATCCCGCGATCGTACGAGAATCGTGCAGTGTGAATGAAGGCGTGCGACCGTTTCTACTGTACGGTCGCACGTCTTTTGTCTAAGGAGCACGCTAGAAAACCAGCCGAAAAATCGGCTGGTTTGAATGATGCTCAAGAGACAAATGCCGAACGGGCCGGTGTGCGCACGCGCACACTGCCTGTTCAGCATTGCGGTCATCGGAAGACCGCCCCTCAGGGGGGCGGGCTTGAGATGATCGCAAGTACGATCTGCCTCTCCAAGATGGGCAGATCGTATGTTTTTTTAAAATTACTTTACAACCATCGCAAGACTAAGGTCTTGCGATGGTTGTAAAGTTTATGGCCACCTTAACCATAGATTTAACAGACATTTAAGTGTGTGTGTGCGCGCGTGCGTGTGTCAGAACAAGGGGAGTTTTTTTTTTCCTTCGGTCCAGAATTAGACTTTAAAGTAGAACTAAAGCAATTTTGTTTTCATTTCCCAGTGTCCCATTAGGAACATTTCCCTTCACTTCCTGTCCCACAGCCACAACAGAAAGTTGTAACCGAGAAAAAAGTAAAATCCCCTCTTAGTTGTCACCAGAACTACTGTCCCCATTGAAATATTTCCCTTCTATTCCTGTGACAGCTAAAAATAGGGGTTTTCCTTCACTTTTTTTAGTGATAACAAGGGGTAAACAAGCTCAACACTACAGCTGTTGTGGAACTACAAATCCTATGAGGCATTGCAAGACCCTGACAGCCACAGGCATGAGTCAGATGCATGATGGGATTTGTAGTCTGACCACAGCTGGGGTGCCGAGGTTGCCTATCACTGGTGATAAACAGTCACCAGGATAAACAGAGAAGGTGAATCTGCCTAAAAGCTATAACAGCCTGACAAAGAATTGAGCTCCTCTCTAAAACCAATAAAAAATAAAAAGTTGTGGCTGCAGTGACATAATGACTGCTTGCAGGTTACACACAGCTCAATGCAATCGATCATTCCTCTGACAGGTCATCATGTTTCCATGGTGATGGGAGGAAAGGTAACTATGCTTGGACAAGTTAAACAGATGAGAACTGCTCAGCTGTCTGACCTGGGGAATTTGCCCTCCTTTACCTTTACCCTCCTCCATACAGTACAACAACATCCTATTATGTGCACCGTCCCTGGAGATAACAAGACCTGGGTGGCTGGGGTTGGGGATACCAGGGATTACATTACCCCCAACCCCAGCCACCCAGGTCTTGTTATCTTCAGGGACGGTGCCCATAATAGGATGTTGCTGTACTGTACGGAGGAGGGTAAAGGTTACACGGTAACTATAAAAGTGCTACACGTGTCCCTTCCTCTGGCAGAGCTCACCAGTGTCTGTATATGGGGTTATCGGGCTATCAGGGGGCAGGTGAGGCTCCTGTCATTACAGGCCTGTGTGGCCTCTCCGACCCGAGCAATGACACACTCCTCTGACATACAGCACAAGATGAGCCTCCAGCCTGCCCCGAGTCACCCCGTTTGAGCCCCCCAGACCGGAGTCGCGTTGCCTGGGCCTCCCGTGTCCCCGAACCCCGCTCACCTCCTTCCGTTCCGGCTTCTTCACACACTTCCCCGTCCGCTTCTAGAAAGCGTCGTCTCCAGTTCCTAGCGGAAATGACGTTCTGTCTCACCCACTGGAGATGCTCAGCTTGTCAGGCTCTGCCACGTCCACACTCCGCCCAACCAGGGACAGCGGCCTCAGCAGGACCAGTGCGCATGTGCAGGAGACGCTGTCAGCTGCTGTACGCACGTGCGTACGAGCGCCGCCATCTTTGTTAGGGGCACTGCCAGTATATGCTGAGCTAGTGCAACAATTCCAAAACATTTTCAATTTTTGGAGCCAAATTCCCCTGTCTCTATTTGCTCTACAAGTGTCCATGTTAGCTGGGGGCACGGTGCCAGGTGGCAACTTTTCTCTCAGTTCGCCTTTTTAAGGGTGCATTTACACTGAAATGCGTGTGTTGGGCATAAGTCAATGCAAGTGCATTCACATTGCCATAGTATGTTGACATGCATTGCGTTATGTTGCATTTTGTTGTTTGATTTTCACACTAAGCTATGTAAGGTATTGTTTTTGTCTAGCATTGATTTGCATTGTGTTGACATGCCTTAAACATGCATGAAAAAAGAGCCTACTCTACTTTCAGTGCAGGGCAACTCATATCAACGCAACACACTGGTGTCAACTGCTCCCATTCACACCCATTCATTTTTAGATGTACTTGCGTTGGCATGTGTTGAACCTCTGTTTTCAACCTTAGTAGTATGCTGGGAAACGTTTTGCTGTTGCACTACTGTACAGCTGGTTATGATTTGACAAGTGCGTTGGTCATTTGTTTTGCTTGTTGAATTTGGTGTGGGGACACACTGGGGGCTTCAGCTGCCGTTGTAATGTATGGGGTTCCTGGTGTGTCCCTGTTCCTTTAAGGAGGTTGGACTGCCTTCTGGTGAACCTGCATCCAATTCATCCTTTGCTATATATGCTCTAAAATGGAGGCTCTCATAGATTAGAGTTAGGTCCACACTACACAGAGGGGCCTTGACGAGGCAGTGTGGCTTCCACATATTCAGCAGAAGATGTGCAACTAAGCCCTCGTTCACACCTGAACGTTTTGTAGCGCGTTCTACGCTCGACGAACGCTCTACAAAACTCTCAAAAATATAAATCCCATTGTATTCAATGGTCTCGTTCCCACCTTGGCGTATTTCCGACCGTCCCTAACGCGCTACAAAACGGCCCACGCCTGAAAAGGTACAGGTACTACTTTGGGCCGTTTTGTTGCGCCTTTCCATTGGGCTACAGCCAAGTAGCCTTCGGAAACGCGCGACGGGTTGCGCGACTTTTTCTACCGCGAATCGCGTAAAAAAAGGCGCGCCGGTCACGCGGCAGACGTGCATATGCAATACGCCTAGGTGTGAACGAGACCTAAGACCTCTGTTTTTAACCTTAGTAGTTAGACAGTGTTTTTTTGCAGGCTGGCTGGTGAGTGTGCTGGGAAATTGTTTGCTGTTGGCCTGTTTTTAAAAACGCATGCCAATGCATCTGGTGTGAATGGGGCCTTAATCTCTGCATCCCAGTCACCCCAAATATCCTTCTTTGGCTTCCCAAATAAATGAAATCATGAGAATGGAAGTCCCTAGAGACTCCATTAAAATCCAACTTTGGGTTCCCAACTCTGGACCCCCATTTACTTTTTTCAAATGTCCTTAGGATGTTCACATGACACACAAGATCTTCTTCAGATCTCAGCAGTGGCTGGTCCTGAATAATGCAGAGAGCAGCATTCACATGATTATGTTAGCACTGCTCTTTGAAAAACTCTATTTAAATGGAGCAAATGCCCTCTAAGGGGGTGGGTCCAAGACACCCTGGGGAGAATTTATCAAAACTGTAGCAGACAAAATCTGGAGCAAATTTGCACTGCAACCAATCAGCTGAGCAAACTGAAGAGAGAACCTGATTGGTTTCCACAGGCAACTGCTCTAGATTCTGTCTGCTGCAGTTTTGATAAATCCCCCCCCCTGTATTTACAGGATGTCATGAGTCTTCCTAGAGCAGGGGTGACCACAATTTTTTGTGTTAAGATCTACTTTTCAAATGACGAGCTACATGAGATCTACCAACGGAAAAAAAACCCTCCCTTGCTCTCTCTCTCCTGGCTGTCTCTCCTCGCTCTCCTGGCCATCTCTCCTTTCTCTCTCTCCTGGCTGTCATTCATCATTTTCTCTCCTGGCTGTCTCTCCTTGCTCTCTCCCCTGGCTGTCTCTCCTCTCTCTTTCCTGGCTCACTTTGCTGTTTTTAGCAAACAGTGCAGTGCAACAGGCTGTGTAAACTAATATTCTTTGATGTAATACATAGCACTTCAACCATCAGTTTCCACCAGAAATGTGTCAGGGAGCTTGGCTCAGCAGACTCAGGCTAATAGGTAATCATGTGTGCGCAGCGGAATAAATATACCAAAATGGAATAAAGGGGCCGCCATTCACACCCTTTGTGATCTACCAGCATCAGCTTTGAGAGCTACTGGTACATCACGATCTACCTAATGGGCACCCCTGTCCTAGAGGAATGACGCTGAGCATTATTCAACTTAAAAAGCTGAGGACAGTAGTAGCAGTATGAAATTATCCCATTATGGCCACTGGATGGTGCTAGAGTAGCATAGGAAATACGTATGCATTTTCTATGCTCATCAACGCCATCTAGTAGTCCCTCATAGGGCCTGTAAGACTATATAAATGTATCTAATCTTCAACATAATTGCCTCTGCATTGGATTATCACTTGTTTGAGTAATAACTTAATACCTAGATCTGAAAGTAGAAGTCTAGGAAATGGCCTGGTGGGCCGGAATCGACCCCTGGGCCTTGAGTTTGACACATGTGAACTAGAGGATTGGGGGAACATCTGGTCTAGGGTGGCCAAATGTTCGTTTAACACGACTATAATGCAGTCGACATACAAGGTTCTCTTGATATGGTACTGGGTACACGCCAGAACAGTGAAAGCTTTTGCACCATTATATGCCAAGCTCTGCAACTTCTCAACAAACACTGGCCCCCTATTAATTGCTGCCAGCCAAGCAAGCGATAGCTCAGAGTCAATGTACAAGAGGTCAAAGAATGCATTAATTCACTTTTGGTAAATGAGAAATTGACCATTTACAAGCCATATTCCTTAATATCTGGGAATCTTGGCTGACCCATGGGCTTCCCTCCCTGAACCAAACTATTCTCAGCTAGTATTTGTCTCATGACTTCTCACGGGGTACCAGACTTGTGAAGGTGCTACCCGGCCTTATTGACCTCATTACCCAGAATGATACTGTACATGGGTGTATCGTTCAATGCTATGTATTTGTACTTAAAATACTCAAAATATTTGCACAATGTTAATTTTCCACTCTCTCCCTATTATCCTGCTTTATATGTTCTATATGGTAATATAGAACATATAAGGGCAATACTGGTTGTTATGTTTTGTTTTTTGTTTTTTTTAAACTTGAAATAAAAATATTGTATCAGAAATAAATACTGTTTTCACATACTATCTTTATCTATGCACAGATTATAGGTTCACGATTTCAGGCATTGCAAGTCTGCAACTGTTGCTGAACTGCAAATGTCATTATCCACTATAGCTTAGCTCAGCAACAGATGGTATGTTAAAGGTCTCCTGTGTCTGCCATAAACTAGAGAAAAGCACATTGTTTCCCAGGGCTTTTCATGAACCAACTGAATACATGTATATTACTTACTGAAAATATACAATAGTATGCAATAGTTGAGGGACCTTTGGAGATGTTAAAGGCAACATCATCAAGGTAGGCATAGTGATTGTGGGAAGGAAATTGGTATTACTTGTTTAGAAGGAGATTTATAGTTACAGTTTCTTCACTTACTTCTTGGTCCCGGGCTTTTATTCCCTAAAAAAATAAATTAAGTTATTATATAATTCATGTTAGACTGTCCCCCAGTATCTGGGATCATTGGACGTTATGCATTTGTATCTCTTTTTTTAGTGACAGAATGATAATACGCATTCATAGAACAGGGAAAATAGTTCACCGCTACGGAGGCTGAACCCAAAACTATTTAATTTTGAGTCAGGGATCTGAAGAGTAAAGACATCTTTCAGATAGGATGAGGGCCAATACTCCATCTGACCACTGTTGTAGCTTTAACCCTTTATATAACCATTCTAATAACCACAGAACACATAACCTTATAGTGATAAAAACCTTTTTACCATCCAGCTGATAAGTTGTGCAACCTATAGGCTTTACATAATCAGTGAATCCTAAAACCTTGGTTTCCCAGAAAATCCTAATATGTTGTGACCTAATACTTTTCTGCCTCTGATATGTAGGAATGAGATAAATTGACAGCACTGGAGTAAATGAGGAAGGACAAATTAAAGTGTCTGTACACCCAAAACTTTTCTTTTTAGTTTTAGATAGCTTCCGGAAGGCCTAAACCTTTCCATTCAGGAGATACAATAGGAAGTGAAAAGTAATCTCTCCAAACTGAGAGGAACTACACTCTTAGATAGTTGCCACCTAAACAAATGTCCTCCTTGGCAGACCCTCATTGTGACAGCTGCAAAATGTTGTATCTTCTCTAATTCTTCAGTCCCAGTGACGATGGTCACCAGAACAATAGAGAGAATGAATCTCCACAACAGAGAAAGCAATACAAACCTGGCAGAGGTTCTAATGCAGGGGTAGGCGACACTGACACTAGAACTACAAGTCCCATGATGCATTGCAAGACAGCCACAGGTATGACTCCTCGAAAGAGTTGGAGTACCGAGGTTGCCAACCCCTCACCACTCTATCCAAAGTTGAAGAAAATTAAATTATGCATACAGTCGGTTTTGATAGTTTTAATGTTGAACTCCAGGCAGATATTAAAATGTATTTTTTACATGTAACTGGTATCTGAACATGGCTTGGTATATGCTTCTTGTTGTCCTCTGAACAGAAGTACTTAGTTTAGCAGAGGGAAGGGCAACATTTATCCAGGTGATCTTAATGAACACATGCTGATAAGGAACATATTGATAGAAGGAGAGAGAAGAGGAATGATCTCATCAGTCTTCTGCTGCCTCTATCCTTGAAGAATGACCAGGTTGTAATGCTTTGCAGCTGCAGAGAAAAGTAAGATTAGCAGCTTGATTCTGCTGTCTACCCATCTAGACTAGATGGACAGCAACACAAACCCTTTGGCAGATAAAACATCTCCTACCTATTGTGATGTTGGCTAGCTCACAGAGCACTCGCACAGGCTTTTCCTTTAACCAAAAAGTCTTTATTATTCTTCCGTAACATAAAAGAGCTTTAATTCAGCACAAATAACAGAAAATAAACGTGTCTCACCGACTTGTTGAAAAAGTCCCACACGTGGGAGAATCCTTTCTCAGGAATATTAGTCCTGCCAGCAAGGCACAGCACAGCAATACATCTAGTCTCTCTCACAGCAACAGTTGCTCACTTCTTCCTCAACTCCCAGTGTGATAGTCCCAGGACTTTACCGTATTTCCCTGTAAATACAGTCCTCAGTATTACTTAGCAGCCTTCCTTAGCTCCAAGCAGTATCTCAGGGTTCCCCAACCCTCTTGACCTCTCCAGCCTTCCTGGCTGTGTCCCTTGTGCTCATGCACGCAGCAGAGTCTGCCTGCACACCCACAACTCTCCTCCTCTGAGTTCTGGTCTGAGCTCTTAATAAGGCTGCTCTCAGCCACCTGATCACCGGCAACACCTGACCTCAGGACTGGAGATTTCATCCCACCCAGAACACTACAAAATCTCCAGAGATCCAGATCCCAGCTACAATCCAGAAAAACTGGAAGGAACTGAAAGGCCATTTTCTCCCCTGCAGAACTATTTGCATTCTGGAACTTCTCAGCCCCTCTGGCTGAGAGTCCTGGGTGAGTGTGTTGCCAGCATACTCTGTGGCATTGCCATGCACTGCCACACTATGTATTTCAAGTGTGTATTTTGCTGTTTGTTTAGAATTTAGCTTTAAGGGTACAACTGGCTTAAACTTGCCTTTGAAGGTTAGAGAAGTTCCTTTCATTTTTTTTCTTTACATTCCCAAGAAATACTTTACCTGTTACTTTATATCTACACTCATTTCTCCATTGTGTCTATGGACGGATGATTCTCACAAAAGCTGGACTTCAAACATATCTGACTTCGTTTATCCCCATTACCTAGTGGATTGCTTGGACAAGTAGTTTACACAATAAATATAGGTATGCATTATTTTGCATACTGAAATTAGTTCAGCTTGTCCCAATGCACATGATATATCTGAGTGGCCCACAGGGATCCTATAAAGCACTGTAGTAGCTGGAGCTACTACAATGCTGGCCGTGAACTTCCACGTTGCTCACTCAGCACAGCAGCCATTTAGAGAACATCTAGTATTTTTATTCCAGCTTTGCCCAATGTAAGTATGCATATGATATATCTGAGCAACCCATAGGGGTAGCTGGAGCTACTACAATGCTGGCCATGATCTTCCATGTCCTGTAATAGGCTGTGCTGAGTGGCTTTCAGAGCAACTCTGAAAATACAGCAGGTCACCAGCATGGCACCGCAGCTATTCAGAGAACATCTAGTATTTTTGTTACAAATAATACAAGGCTTTCTCTGATAGGACGAGGGGTGGTGATGTCCCATAACATTTTTTTTTTCAATTGTGCACTTTTAATAAGTTCAGCTTTAACCAGTAATTTGCCATTGTATGAAATTAATATAATCACAGCAAATAGATGCTAAGTCCTGGAACTTTAATCAAGTGGGAGAACAAAGGTTCATTAATTCCCTGTTGTTGTTGTTGTTTTTTTTTTCATCACTTGCTATAAAAATATGTTCCATATACAATGGATAAAATTTACCAAGTATCTAATCTTATTTACAAAAATAACCAGGATCCCTTGTCTGTGAGAACAGTTTGGTAAGGCTATGGTTATGATATGTTAAATTATAACTCCATTTAAACTAATTATTGAATTAATATCAATTATTCATTTAAATTTGTAACGGCAGCAGTAGTTGGGTATATGTAGGAACCCATGGGTCATGAAGAAATTTGATAAGCCAAAGTATCAATTAACTTAACAGCAACCATGCAAAACTGAAGGATTAGTTTGAATGGAGATGGCCTTCAAAGGGTATCACAATGCCTGCCAGATCTAGAAATTTGAATATTCCTCTATTATAGGTTTGTTAAAAGCATAGCACCCCATGGTGGCATTCAAAGAATTTCGAACAGGTGGGTGCAGAAGGGGTAAAACTTTATTATTATTAAAAGGCAGTTGAGAAAGAGACGTCTATAATTAGACTGAATGAAAGTTTGTGTGACAAGGCTTCACAGAGCAGCAGGAGGGATATGTTTTCAGAGAAGGGCTAATGTAAGGGAGGGACGTGAAGAAGTAGAGAGCACCAAGATTGACATGACATGTGCTGGGAACGCCACTGGCCTCTTCCCAAACGTATCATTGGCTCATCGTAACAAGTGCTGAAGCTCCCAGAAGAGTTTAGTGCAGCCAGGATCCACAGTCCTGCTGTTTACTTGTGTACACTTGATACAGGAGTGAGGAGCTGTGATGGAGATCATTTAGTCAGGCCTGCAGAACAGAACATACAAGCATGGGTAGCGACGACCATATCCTCATCACCTTGTCCGGAGAAGGTCCCTGGGGCTTTAGACTTCATGGGGGAGCAGAGAAGAGTTTACCTCTTCTTGTGTCAAAGGTAAGCCCTGCTATCAGGACTGCCACCACAAGGCCATGTGGCTGCACTCACTGACACCTCATCAAATTACTATCATGTATAAAAAGCTGCCTGACAGTCTAATTATTATTAGGTTTTGCAAAATGTATTCCCTGCCCTCTGATTTTTTTTGTTTTGCCTTTGCAGTTCTGGTGGTTGCACAGATGTGTTTTAGATCATCTAATGTAATAAGTGTTTAGTATCTATCACACCAGTTTAATTTCAGTATATTTATCATTTGTTTCATATATTCCTTATTGCTTAGTCACAAGGAAATTTTATAGCACAAGACTACTGCCAAGAGGAAGCCAGTTAGTGGCACCATCTGCTAAAGATACATATTTTATCTGGGATAAAGTTATGCTTGCTCCAATTTTTTAACTGCATTTCATATTTACCTTACTTAAAGCATAAATATTGCTGATGATGCATTACTGACAGAATTATCACTGCCACATGCCATCATGTTTTGCAAGGTCGAGACCAGTAGTAGCGAAAAGCAAACATTCTATTCATATTACACAGTCCACAGTCTCCATAATAATCTCTTTTTTTCAAAATGATTATGTTCAATATGAATACTGGATTTAATTGATTTAGAACAGAAGACTTATTGAGATTTCATGTGATTTTTATGTTACAAATAAGGTCATGCAATGGTTTAAAATATACCTCAACCTGACACATTTTCTATTATCCAAGTCTGGGCTGCGTTTAAATGTACCCGTGTGGGGTTCCAGCTTTCATACTGAATGTACAAATAATTATCTTATTCCTCGCTCCCCAGCACTATGCGCTCTCCTCTACTATCTAACCCTCTGGGTTTTTTTGGGGGGGGGCTCGCTGTCCTCCAGTACAGTGCATGACTACTATTCCTGCATGGTATGTGATGTCAGAGAGCTGCGACGAAGCAGTAACTGCATGTAATGAACAAATATGGTAGCACCCATGTACATACTACATACGTTTATATATGTTTACAAATAACACGTGGAAACAAGGTTTTTAAATAGTACCATACAGATAGTAAAACTTACATTTAGCTGATCTTTTTTCTTTACATGTTTTAAAAAAAATGAAAGACTATACATTCCCTTTAAAGGAAGTAAAATACGTTATTTTTTTTATAGTCGCAAAGGGTACTTTTGCCCATGCAAGCCAAATGTACACTTGTTTATTTCAAAAGGCAAAATTTTGGTCCATCCACCATCTTAACATTTCTTTATGCTATTAGGGTGTGCTGTCTGTGGAAATGGATCACCTTATGCCCTACTCTTTTTACTTGACCATGTAACTTATATTCTGCTGTCACATATCTGGGCAAATCAAACTGAGCTTTCTGATGGGTAAATGCATAAGGAAAACATACTTTCAGAAAAAAACACGTGAGAATCAGGAGATTCACAGATATTGGCATTCACTGAATGAGGAAAGATAGATGTGACATAGTTTGAGGATAGCTGTTACATAATTCAGGTTACGGGGAAGGATAGTTATGATATAATTTAGATAGTAAAGAAAAATATCTGAATCATTGAGCTCATGAGTAAGGATACTTTTGACATGCAGCTCATTAGGGAGGATAGTAATATCATTAAGCTTATGAAGAAGAAGGATAGCTGGGACATTATTCATTCCATAAGGTAGGATAACCGTGACATTATTAAGGAAAGACAGCTGTGACATCATTCATCTCATGAAGGATATCTATGACACAAAAGGTTATGAGAAAGCATAGCTGGGATGTCATTCATCTCATGTGGAAGTATAACTGTGACATCATGCAGCTCATTAGGGAGGATAGTTGTAATATCATTAAGCTTATGAAGAAGGATAGCTGGAACATTATTCATATTATAAGGTAGGATAACTGTCACATTATTTAGGAAAGACAGCTGTGACATCATTCATCTCGTGAAGGATAGCTAAGACATAAAAGGTTATGAGAAAGCATAGCTGTGATGTAATTCATCTCATGTGGAAGTATAGCTGTGACATCATGCAGCTCATGAGGAAGGATATGTGATATCTTACAGCTCATGAACTAAGACAGTCCTGGACTAAAGGATAGCAGTGATATCATTCATCTCATGAGCTAAGACAGTTCTGAGTAGAAGGAAAGCGGTGATGTCATTCATATTATAAGGAAAGATAGCTGTGACATAATTCAACTCATGAGGAAGGTTATTTGCAATGTCATTAATCTCATGAAGAATAATAGCTGTGAAATTATTCAGCAGTCATAAAAAGAACAGGTGTTATATACTAATGACCATCAGTGAGGGTCACAATCCTTTATAAATATAATGCAGACATATTTTTGGAAATCTTTCCAACATGATGAAGGGTTTTCATTTAGCCACTTCCATGGCACAATATGCATTCACTATGTAAGCCGTCCATAAACAGCGGGGTATATAACGAGATATTTTTGCTGCATATAAAGTCAATTGCCCTCTATCTCAGTGTTAACACCTCTTCATTCAGTGGTGCTCTTCATGGGCCATCACAAATGAACAGGAATTAGTAAATAGGAGCACTCCATTTTTTTAAAATCTTAAAGTGACTTTATTAAATATCAATATTTGGAGAAGGGCATTTACTGGAGTGTTTCTATGCTCCATCCTATGGTTCTTCCTTTATACAGGTACACATGGATTGGTAATTTGTATATTTCTTTAAAAATAGCTTTCTGCTGTAAAAGTCATCATAGGTTGGCTTCGAGGTACAATCTGCAAGAATGACAGAGCAAACATGAGTCCTAAAAACATTTAAAGGTCTATTTTCATTTGTTTTATGGCATCTGTATTTTTAAAGGAGCTCAACTCAAAATGATTGCATTAAAGGAAGTGAGTTCATGTCAGCCATCTATACAGCCGCATTCCCTTGTTCATCTGTAATAGTATATATGTAATAATTCCTGGAAGTATATGGATATTCTTGTAGAGCCAGGGGGAGTAACTGTAAGAAGAATGGAACAGTGCTCTGTATGACTTTTAAAGGAAATCTCATGACAAGAATACAGTAAGTGAATTAAGAATCCGTGATTTACATTTTGACACAGAATGTACTGAAGTCAGAGGTTCAGCATGACAGTCAGGTAGCTTTTTATGTAGGAGACCAGCAATGGCAGCCTATACAGTTCTGTAGTACTGTTTTTCTTTAAAATGATGGGTTGGCTGAGCAGAGGCATGGAGCTAAATGATATTACCATATTGGCAGAGCTGGATTTACTCTCCCTGCTGCTCCAAGGCCAGGTTCTGCAATGCGCACCCTGCCCCCCATCAACAGAGAATGGCAACCGGATGGCAGGGGCGACAGGGTTTTTTTTTTAATGTTTCTTTATTTTTTTAAGCTTTTTTATCACTTTTAATTTTTTTTACTTTTTTACATTTTTAGCTTATCGTTTACTTTTTTATTTTTTTTATCTTATTATTGTTTATGTTTTATAATTATTTTCTTATTTTTTAATAATTTTTTTGTTATTATTTTTTACTTTTTAATCACCTTTTTATTTAATTATTATTTCTTATAATTGTTTTA